TTTTGTCCTTCTTATTACATCTTGGGCAAATCCATTTATCTTGATTATTTTTCATGAGGGCAAGTTAAATTATATGGTCACCAGAACAAAAACCACACATTCTTAATCTTCTGCAATCTTTTTGTTTATGATTGTAGTTGCTACAGACAGATAGTTATATTGAAATAGTCTTATAGTATTTTTTTCCATCCTACACTAATTAGTCCTCTGTTAGCTTCAATTTGATTTCGAATTCTAGACTCAATCAAGAGTATTAGTTTATGATTACCATTATTTTTTGATTCAGCATATTTCCATTGTATTCGCGAATCTTTATCCCATTTGTTCCAGACTTTTAATTTTTCGATGAATTTGGGCCATTCTTCGTCATTGTTCACATTATCGATTACAATTGCTGGGTCTGTCAAATCTGGGATTTGAACGTGGAAGTTGTAATCTTTGACTACAAGGTTTTGTTCAATTAAAGTTTTTGTCTTGAATCTTGTGGCTTCATCTTGTAGATATATTTTACATTGGGATTTTGTGGCAATCATGTTGTTAATATCGATTGGTTCTCCATGCTCACAAAAGAAATTTTTTAGCTTCTCTGTTGTTGAAAGACCAGTTTCTTTAATGTTGTTCTTGAAAGATTCAACGATAATTTGTAAGAATTTCAAAGTCCAGTAACGATCCAATTTTTGGTGGGACCAATTACTATTGTAATTTATAGCGATTTTTTCTTTGTTCTTTTCTGAGATAGTTCTTGGTTGATCCATTGATGTTGTTACAACTTCCTTGTTGAGGATGTGTCATCTTTCTTTCAGTTATTGTAGTTAAATGTGGAAGAATAGAAGTTGCCTTATTGTATATTGTTTTGTCGTGGTTGATACCATTTTCACTTTGATAAAGTTTAATGTAGTCTCTTAGTGTGTCCCTATAAAGGACTATTTTTTCTAAATTGTGACTACCAATTAAAATATTCACTAGTTCTTTATAGGGTTTATTATTGACCATTTCATCCATATGTTGAATTATATTCAAATAATCGAAGTCACAGTCATCTGGTATTAACTCATTATCACATGAGTCTAACCTGATTCTTTTACTCATTGTTATTTAAGTTGTTCACAATTAAAGGGAATTTAATTAAAACAAATAGTAAAAATTGTATGCGAAGAGAAGATTTTATTGTTAACTTATATTGAAGTGCTTGTTTACATCATTATAAAGAAATTGATTATTGTTATGTTTTATCTTTGTAATTGGATGGGCCAATTGGACAAGTCAACTGGCTCCATCTAGTGTGTATTTTTTTGTTCGATTATAATTGTTCTGTAGCAGAAATTGGTCTGAGAGATTTTGTTCATTAATTTATTCATGAATTTTTCGCATTTTATGAAGAAGACTGAATGTCCTTTTTTACCACAGGAGGCATAGCCAATCTTTTTTCTCTTTCTTACACTTACTCGTTGAATGTTCTTCAGAGCATCGGGCACATCTTACTTGTTTTTTACAATTTCTGAGTGTATGGTTGAAATCATAGCAATGTTCACATATAACAATGTTAAAATGGTCAAAGATCGGGTACTCTTCATCTTCAATGGTTATTAGTGGTTCAATGTTAGTATCAATTTTATCTCTAACTTGCGGTGAGATTTCAATGATTAAGTGTTCATATTTGTTACAGTTTCTAACAAATTTAAGTTGTACTGATTCATCATTGAGAATAGGATTGAGCTTCTTGATGTGGTCTATGATTGTTTCCTTTGAGTTAATATTGTTGATTTTGCTTTTTTCAATTATAATTCTAATCATCGGATTTATTGGCTTGGGTATATACAATTGACATTCTGGTATTGTGTCTTTGTATTTGTTAAATATCTCCCATCTCTCTTTTAAGCTGACACAGTTGATTTTAGCACAGTTATATCCACTTTGGATGTTCACGTCGTCTTTGATATAATTTTTCAAATATTCTCGAGAAGTGTAGCCATTGGAAATTTTACCACCAAGATAAACTTTACAAACAATATTCCAAAAAAGTGTTTCTTTTGATAGCTCAAAAATAGTGTAGTTCTTAGTTTTTGTTTTTAGGGTGAGGTTATTTACTCTAAAAGATAGTTCTCTGAGCAATGATAGGGCTTTGTTATCCAATTTTTGTTTGTTTGCTTCATCAAGTAGGTTTAGCACATTTTTAATATCATTACTGAGGTAATTATCACTTTGTTTAATCAATTGTAGCAATTTTTCTTCCATTGCGGGCACTTTCAAGAACTTTTTATAATTCTTAATTTATAAATTTAATGAGTTTATTTAAAAATAATTGAGTTTGTTAAAAATAATTACTCTTCCACTGTGATTGACTGGATTAATCAAATTGTGATTCTCAAAATGAGCAAGTTACACATTCAACGAGCGCGATTTTCAAACTGTTTAAATCAAATTTTCTCTCTTTTTTTAATTTCAATCATTTTAATTAATTTTCGAGTGTGTGATTAACTAATTGTGGAATTTGAATGGATAGAATTAATTTTCCGTGATTAATGAAGAATGATGGTGAATTTGGTTATGGTGATTTAATTGTAACAATTTGATGACAAGTTTATTTTTGTTTGATGACTTTGGTTAATCAGCTGATCAACAATTACGAGTTTTTAATTTAATAGTTTGGTTAATATAAAAAATTAGGACTCATTTAATTTATGATGTATTTATTTGGTTGATTGTGATCATAGTGATTGTAATTAAATTATGTGTTTATCTGATTGTATGTTTTTTAAATTGTGAAAAGTTTTAATCTCAATGATTTTATGGTTAATTGATTGTTTACAATTTTTATAAGTGAAATAATTTAATTGCTGTTCTAATACTTATTGTGTTGATATCAAATTAACGATTAACTGATAAAAATGAATCAGATTACAATTAATTGTTAAATTAGCATAATTTAATCAGTTTCTTCAATTCAATTTTCATTTGATTTGCAACAATGATCAATCATTTATATACATAACAATTTATAATTAACTTAATTTACAATTAAAATCTTCATCTCTTTCCAAATTAAGTAATGATAAAGTTGCTGATTAACAAAACAATTAACTTTTCTTTTATTTTGTTTATTATCAAAACTTGACTAAAGTTATTAATATATAAAAATCTTATTTCTGATTGTTACTGATCAGTTAACAGGAAAAACTAATAACAATTAATTTTTATCAATCAATTTTATAAAAATGATTAGAAAAAGATTCATTTACAATGAACTAAGTTAATTTCCTGAGTTAATTAAAAGTATTGATTTTAACAATAACAATAATAACAAGAGATGAAGGGGAAAAAATTCTGGTAATGATCTGATGCCCTCGGGCGTTTTAAATGAATACAAGGTTAAACTAAGGCCAAGAAAAAGTTGTTAGGTTAAGGTAACGGGTCAGCAGAAAGGTAAGTCCAAAGAAAAGGTCGCGTGGCCCAATCATCATCATCATCATTACGATAACTATAATTATCTTAATCTAATGTAACTGTTAACCTTTGGGCTGACCGTATGTCAATGTATCGACTGTTACCTTTTCTCGGGTCATAGTTGAGTTACTTTGATATTTAATTGTCTTCCTTATAACAATAGATACAATCATCGAATCGTAACTTGAGGCCGATGAGGTAAGGGGACTAAGAAGCGTCTCGAGTTCAGCTTTCCATTGAAAAAAAGGCGCTCAGGCCACATGTTGATCGACGAAGACACAAAGTTTGGCTTACTTGCTGTTTCCATGTCATTACAATAATCTTAGTTAAATCTAATCACCAATTGAACCACAAACAATTTGTTTACTACACAGACAATTAACTTTAATAGTAATTGTATCAGAATATGTTTACTATTATTAATTCATATTGCAGACTTTTTCCTTCATTATTAATAATAATTTGCAACAATTAAGTGAAATCAAACACCCAATCGATGACGATGATAATTACTATTATTGTTATTAGTAAATTGTTAAGTTAATTGTAAATTAATATATAGATTTGTAATCATCATAATTTTTTTTTCCTAATACATTTATGATAATCTAATATATTATGATCATTGATGGTGGAAACAATTAGTGATTAACTTTTTATTTGCATTGTGACAATTATTTTAATCTGATAATCAAATCATCATTAACCTGATTTTATTAATACAAATAAATCAGTGATTTAAACAAAACAATTATTATTAGCATCAGCCAATGAATGGTTAAATTAAATTATCAACAATTTGATGAATTTACCCTTCAAATTTTTAGTAACATTAAAGTTTCCAATCACAATTAACTGATTGATTTAATGATAATCAGTAAGCATATGATAATTAAATGGTTGAGATGATCAAGAAAAAAACAATAGGAAAGATTAAAACTCATTCGTAACAATTAATTGTACGATAATTGTGATTAAATTGTCATTTACACAGAATCTCAGCTGATTAAACATGAATAAATTTAGTTGATTAATTAATTTCATGATTAATTGAACAAATTTACTTTGATTGAAAATCATTTAAACAAATTAAAGTTAATGATAAAAGGACAAAGTAACTCTTTCAATTAGAATACAATTGATTAAAAGTTAATGGAATCACCTGTGATTTCAATTAAATTGTAAACAATTAAATTAATTATAGTTCTAAATCTTTAAATTGGAAACAAAGTTAACCATAATGATCAATATAACAATGGAAAAAACGAAACAAAATTAAATTAAATTGTTGCGATTAACATAACAGTTTATGGACACACAGTGACCATAACATAAGTGAAATAGATTTTGATTAATTGTGATAATAATAATAATGATTAGGATTAATTATCTATCATATGTTAGACGAGGTTACTAAAGGTCCAGCCCACTCGAACGGCGATCCAACCTCTTCGATGGGTTTGTCCATCGGTTTGAGGTCAAAGTTGAGAGTTACAAGTTAGACCTGAACATTGGTACTTGCGGTTCAGTCTTGAAAGTGTCTTAACCATTGATGATTGAATCAGTGATCAACAATCAATTTGCTTTTCACAATTTGTTTCAACAATTAGTTTGAATAAATTGAATGTGTCGTTTACCTTTACCAAGTCTCAATGTGACAAATTAACTATTTACAATTAAAGGTGAATCAAAGTAATCACATTCACTTTATAATCAACAATTAAGTAACATTATTTTCAAGCAAAATTTTTCATGTGATGATTATTTTCTGATTCATATTAACTGATTGTTAAGTGTTAATTGTTTCTCAATGATTCCATACATGATTACTACATCTAATCTTACCTGTAATAGTAAATTAAATTTCTGCATTGATGCAATTCTAGGAAAGACAAGCTCATCATCATCTTCATCTTCATCTTCATCTTCATCTTCATCATCATCATGGACTCACTCTAATCAATCATCTTCATCTTTGTTCATCGAAAATTATTGTCCAAATGAGATCAATATCTTTTCAAGTTCGATTAAAATGTCCAATTATTCAATCGCGAAAATATTGGATCTTAAATCGACTCCATCGTTGGATGAACCGTTAAATTTAACGCGGAAATTTTCAACAATCAAAGATTCTGAGACTCGAAAGAAATCATTATGTTCAAATGTTCAAATTTCCAATGATAATCATGACAATATAAATAAAGAACAATCAACAATCGTTAAGAAATCAACGTTCTATGGACAGAAACAATTCTCAAGTGAGACTCGAACTTACAAATGTAATCAGTGTAACAAACAGTTCAAACGATCGTCGACTTTATCGACTCATTTATTGATTCATTCCAATATTCGGCCATTTTCTTGTTCTTATTGTGGTAAATGTTTTCACCAAAAATCGGACATGAAAAAACATACTTACATTCACACCGGTGAAAAGCCTCACAAATGTACAGTCTGTGGAAAAGGATTTAGTCAATCATCAAATCTAATTACTCATTCACGAAAACACACTGGATTTAAACCGTTCGTATGTGCTGATTGCCCGAAGGCATTTCAACGTAAAGTTGATCTCAAGCGACACAATGAAACTCATCATCCTGATATCGATCATCCCAACAATCAACTTGCTCCATCATCATCATCACAATCATCATATTTATCGTCATTATCGCCAACATCTTCATCTTTACCTTCACCATGATGGAGACACTCAGAGGAAACTGAGAATTAATTTCATGGATTATTCAGTTAATCGCAATTTAATTAGTTCTTAATGTTAAGATAATTGTCGAATTTTTTTTGCTTCCAATACTCGAAAAGAAAGACGAGATCATCGAATTGGAAAGTTCAATTGTAACCAATATTCGTACCCTTTTTTTTATTAAGAAAATGAATAAATGTCTACATTTAGATGAGAAAATGAAAGATAAATTTTAAAGTGGAAAATTGTAACGGTAATAATTAAGAAAAAAAAAGAGCTGAATTGAAGGTGTGAAGGACAACACACAAGAGAAAAATAGTAAATTCTGATATGATGATTAACTTTGCAGTATTTTCTCACTAAATTTTCTGGCTGTAACTATTTTCTGAGGCATACAGAGAACAGGATTAATCGGGCCAATTGTTTCTCTAACGTAATTGTAATCAATTGGTGGAGGTTTATTACCGTGGTCTTTATCATATTCTGCTTGTTGATCGGGTGTTAATTGATAGAAATGAGTTAATAATGATAAACCAGCAATACCAAAAAGTGTATGAAATGGATCGACCATGTTACCAGGACGATCAGAAAATCCTCCGGTCTCGGGATCTTGACAGCCAAGGATAAATTCAACTAGTTTATTACGATCAATCCAGTGTAAACGATTAAGCATTTGAAGCGATGCAAGAACCCACCATGAGTAACATAAATCGGGTAATTTTTCTGGTCTTCCATTAAGACCACCGGATGGAAGTTGCCGTTCACAAAGCCACCAACCAAGAAGATCACCATCAACTCTATTCAATTCACCAGCTAATCCAAGAGCACCAACAGCACAATAGACTAAACCTGCATGTGATTCTGATCCTGGTCTTGAACCAAATCCACCATCAATTAAATTATTACATCTCATGATAAATTCACAAGCTTTGTTCACATCGATCTCGTGCAATTTTTTCAAAAGAACTAAAGTTGCAATTGCTCCAAAAGAGAATCTTATATCAACTTCTCCCCATTTATCGCCGAAAAAACTGCCATCCTCTTGTTGTAACGATTTAACATAAGAAATAACATTTGGAATATTAACAATATTATCATCCAAAGCATCTAATATAGTTAATATTTGGATAGCACTTAGTGTATGAAGAAGGTGAGGATCATGATTGATTGAAGGTCCAATTCCACCGCAAGGATGTTGACAATTTCTAACAACATCTAGAATCTCCTCACGATGAGTAATCAAATAATCATCACCCTGAAGTAAATGGCAAGCAGTTAAACACCAATAGATACCAGACATTTTTAAATGTTCACTCATAATCTGCTCCAAGCTTCCTTCAGTAGGAGCACAATTAATGATAAAATCCTTGTGTTTATCAATGAACAGGATTGGAATTACTTTATTTAAACTCATCGGTCTTTCCGACATCATTTTTAGGGCACAGGTAACAGAGTAACAGGTAAGACTGAGTAATGAGTTAAAAAGGTGAAAGGTGAAACAAGTTAAAATAGAACAACAAGTGTACAAGTTAAAGAAACAAAAAGAAATTAAAATGAGACAATTTAATTGATTGGATTCGCGGTTTATATTGGAAAAAAATTCTTCAACTGGTCAGAGAAAAAATTGATTAATCACCATCGATTATTCTTATGGAATCGATGGTTAGATTTTAATTTTCGATTCTAAAAAAGTGACGAAAGAAAATTAGACACAAAAATAGAAAGGAAAAGATTTTTCTCTCTTTTAGTTGCGCGAATTTTAAACTTCTATTTACTTATGGAGAATTTACATTGGAATAATCGATTGAAATTGAAAACGATCGATCTTTGGGAATAGATCGTTCATAGAACCGATTATAAGGTAAACAGCTTGTTGCTCTTATTGTTTTCAGCTTATTCTTCAGCTTTCTGAGCTGTGTCAATAAAGTCACATTTGAAATGACCTTTAATTGTTTGACTGTTGACCTGTTGTGCAATTTGAACTGATTGATTGAGGGGGAAAAACATCTAGTTAAAGATGTGACAGTTACCTAAATACTTGAGGTAGTTAAGTGCAAGTGTCATGCCCTCGGGTTATTGCTCAGTAGATTTTGCTAATTGTAATCAACAACCTACAATTTAGTGATTTTAATGTTGCAGTCCAATTAACTTGATTATCCATTAACCAGTAATCTTCCCATTGATTATCATTCAACAATCAAAAATACACTCAACATAAATCATCATATCTTTGCACTGGAAACAAGATGACATTTCAATTCACCGATTAGACCAAAGTAAACATTACAAATGTAATACAATTAAATGTTAAACATTTTTTGGTACACTAAGACTTTCCAATTATGAATCAATGACAATCAAATTCTGGTTGAATTTTTAACAACCAAATCAAGTCAATCAAATAGACTAAAAAACTAATTAACTTATAAGTTAATTGCTACAAAATGTAATGTATTTAAATTCACCAAGAAACATTCTAATTCTGATGTTTTACTTGATCTTTTTCCAATTACTTACAGTTAATTCTGTTATAATCAGGAATTAATGGATAATTAAAGATTAGAAGAAGAAACAAAAAGAAGAAGCAATTTAATTGTGAATTTAATTTGTTTTGATTGTTTGAAAAAATCTATTTACCTAATTAGTTGTTTTCGATTCCGGTAGATGGCAGATAAGTTCAATTCTATTGTCAGCTGATCGCATCATCGTCATCAGCGTTTAATTGAGTGTCAACAGTGACACTTTCAACCTTTTAATAGCTTTTGTATCGTGCGATAATTTAACCAGGATGGGTCTGTGCAAGTGTCCTAAACGTAAGGTGACTCTTCAATTTTGCTTTGAACATAAAGTCAACGTATGTGAGTCTTGTATGTTGTCAAATCATTCAAAGGTAAGTTGTCACTTGAGTAACTCTAATGACTCGATTTGCCTAAGGCTTATTAACTATCATGATAATTATCATGTTTTTCTAACATTTTGTTTACCATTTTATCTTTTAATTATTGATTGTCTCCATTGTTTTACATTTTCCTAATCATTTTCAGTGTATCGTTCGTCCATATTTACAATGGTTAGAGGATAGTACCTATGAGCCGGTCTGTGGATTATGTCATCAGAATCTAAACAATGATAATGATTGTGTCCGTTTAATTTGTTACCATATCTTTCATTGGAATTGCCTTAATAATTATGCAAATAGTTTACCTTCAAATACTGCTCCTGGTGGTTATTCTTGCCCAGACTGTACCAAGACAATTTTCCCACCAACTGAATTAAATTCACCGATAGCCAATCATTTAAGGAAACTCTTGTCAACTGTTAAATGGTCAAGAGCTGGACTTGGTTTACCCTTGATTGAAACAAATTCACCAAAAACACCAAATTCATCACATAATAAACCTCAACCTAAAACATATGAAACATATGAAAAGACCAATTTAAATGAAAATGTTCAACTTGTCTCAGCGGCATCAGCCAACAGTTTAAAATCCCAGCCAACTCATGTTCCCGTTAACGTGAATCACATTTCCGATTATGTTAATTGTGATGAAGTTAATTTTGTCACGAATGCAAGAAAATTTCATCATGTTAGTAGTATCAATCCAAACAATGCCAACACCTTTTTGGACATTGACGATGATAAATATCGCCGAAAAACACCTTTGGAATTAATAACAAAATGGTTTAGGTAAATTCAATCAATTCACCACACAAATTAATTGATTGTTTTCCTTTCCTTTCCTCTCAATCAACAATCAATCATCATTATTACCACACCAAGATACGATTCTCTCTCTCTTTTTTTTAAATAGTTTTACCAATCTACTAATTCAATTTTTTCTTTCTCTTTTATAATCATATTTTCACAATTACAGAATTCATAATATAACCAAACAGAATGATGGATTATCGTTAAAAGGTTGGATTGTTATCGGTTTCGTGGCGATTTTCACTGTGTTCACTCTAGTTCATTATTTCCTGAAACTCGGGAGACAAAATGCTGACCATGACCCTCTGCTTGACCCACATTTCAACCCCAACATCCATGTTGGTCAAGATGATGATTAATTTCCAATTTTTTTAAATCAAAATTATGGATTCAACTATTCTGTGAATATAAGGATTGAATTTTTATTATCTACATGAAAATTTTTTTATCATCATGGTGATAAAAACAATGATTAAAATCAAGAAAAAATTGATTATCCTTAAATCATGATATTTATTGTAATGATTGTTTCCAGTCATCAGTCAATATAACTTTTCTGATTACAAATGATTAGTTTTCAATGGCTGGAAAACTAATCATTGTGATAGTTGATCATCTAAGGTTTCAATTAACGTTGAAAAGTGAAAAATGATCAATGAAAAAAAAAATTAGCTCATCAGCATCAATTGGAAAGACTAATGATGACAAAAATTGATGATCAAAGGAAAAAAAAATCAACAACAATCAAGACTAGACAAATTCATTGATGAGGTTTGATTAATTAACTGTTGACATTTGATTAATGGAAACTTAATTTTCCAAAGAAAAAGAAATCAGGAAGACAAATTGTTTACATATGATTTACCCTTCGATTTTTCAACAATCAAATCAAATTGAACTTTCTCCAAATTGACCTTCTAGTCTAATGGTCATCGTTTTTTTTCATCGATATTATTGTTCATCTCTCCTTGTTCAAATGATAACAATTAACCTAATTGTGGATTGAGTCTTTATGAAACTTTATTATTTTTATTATTACAATAATCAAAACTAGAATTGTGATTAAAATCTCAATGCTGGAATCTTCTTAGTTGAGTTATTCAAATTTTCAATTGGGTAGGAACAATTTAAGTAAAAAAAACTTGATAAATTGACACTAATTACTAAACTCTAATGATTGTGGCTTAAAATTTAGGTCCAATCATTGATTATAATCAACATGTTAATTGCTACTAAATGAAAATAAAGTAAATAAATTATACAGATTTTACATTGGATTTAGATTGTTGAGACATTAATACAATTTGAGACTATGATTACAATATATTATTTACAATTAACAGCAATCACCCAATACTCAATATCTTTAAAATGATTCAATTAACGATTGACCAATATTACAATTACAAATGATTCGAATGGTAAATTTGTTTAAATATCATCAGATTCAATTGTTGGATCGAAATCATCTTTCATGGCGAAAATTAATCGTTCCCAACGTGTCGGCCTATGAGGTTTGATTCCATGATAAATTCTTAATTCATCAGCAGGGAACCAAGAAGCATCTTCTTCAGGAAGCAAAGGTCTTCCAATGACCTTTAACAGGGCAACTAACGGGATCCAAACAGCACAAATTACGATCAATAATGTCGCTAGAATCTTAGCCCATCCAGGCCATTCCTTAACTATAACAGTTGCCTGGAGATAGAATTGATTAGAACAATTAGTTGGATGAGAGAAAAAAATATTCCAAGGTAAAAACTCAATTTCTATTCAATTAATCTAACAGTTCTCAATGAAAATCTATCGATTGTAAATAAATGATTTTCTCCAAGAGAGACAAAAAAATCATCTCAACTATTTCCTATTCGAGTTGCTATGATTTGTTTGGGGAATTCTGATCAAGTCCAACCAAAGAGATTATCAGTTAGATTTCAATACGATTTTCTGGTGAAAAAAAAAGTGAACAACATGATTACCAGTTTACTATCCCAAGCATCGTAACCACTTTCCTGTGATAATCTAACCAGACTCGAAATGAGGATTATCAACATGGTACATGGGGCCGCATATCGCCAGCAAAATAACATGTAATGATTTGGACGTTTACCGGTCATTAATTCGAGGTCATCGCTAAATCTGAAAGAAAAGGATATGAAATTGAGAATGTAAATTTCCCTTCAAAAGGTATTAAAACCTCGTTCATCTTATTCAATTTTCCCCAGAATTTTCAGAACTTTGGAACACAATTCATGATATATGTAAAAGAACAAAGAAAACAAAATTCCAAAATCGCCTAAGGATATTGTTCATCATATACTTGAATATGAATTTTTTTTCCACTTAAAATTTTCCATGGTTATGGATGAATAACTAGGAGATGAATTTGATTATCTCTCTCTTTTCAGATTCATTAAAATATCAATTGAAATCAATTTGAATATCAATTGCAAAGTATTTACTTAGAGTGAAACTTTGTCTCTGTTGAAATTGACTATTTGATAATAGATTTTGTGATGAAAGTTTCATAAAAAAAACTCGAGCTTAATAATTGAATCTATTATCAATTATGTATTTATTGATTCAATGAGAGAGAGAAAAATCTCACTCTTCCCATGAGGAATTGAGCTGAAAATTGAGATTCATGATGATAATATGAATGAACTGTCATCAACATAGGAAAAGGAAACAAAACTATTCCCATTACTATGAATAATAAAATACCATTAATCAAATTAAAGGTGACAAAAGATATCAAAGTAATGATTTTATTCATTAGTAAAATTTCATGGGGAGATTCTGATGTTCATGAAGTAACTCAATCTGATATGAGAAGGAAAAATTTACCTCAATTAATTTTAATGGTTTATAATACAAAACAATAGCTCGGAATTGTAATGATAAACATTTCTGTTTTTCTTGTTAATCATTGAAACTAATTAACTGAGACTCAACTCAACAGGGCTAATCATCATTCAATGATTATGTTGAAAATTCATTTCAACTATTGAGATTTTTGTTAGAATTGAATTGACATTTAATCAGCAAACATGTATCGTTAATGAACCTTAATGGTTAGCGTGATTTGTAATCATATTGTTATTACTTATGAGCAAATATCATGAGATAAATGCTACACTACTACTAATCAGAATACTACCAGTTATGATTGAGATAAAAGTTAATGGACTAATTGACCAATGGAATGGTCAAAAGTTATTATTATTACATTATTAATAGGAATCATGGTAAATACAGGGTCGGGCAGGTTTATTTAGCCGACTTTGAAATTGAATAATTAACTTAATATCAATGCTATGACGATTTTCTTAACATTAATGAATACCCTAAATTGTGATCTTCAATCTGAATCAAAACAGTCGAAAAAATTTGAAACTAATAAACGAAACGAGAAAAATTCAAATTGGTGCAATACTATTGTTTTCCTATGGGACTTTAACATGTAATTTTAGTTTAGGGATAAGTCTTGAATTCGGCTTTCATTTATTGTTGATTATTTTTGATCAAAGATTTATTCATGCAAGTTTCTTACATAATTTTGAAGCTCTAACTGTTTTGCATCGATTGATACTAAATTTGTCGATATTTATTCAGTAACCTATGAAAAATCACTATTCAGCTCCTCCTCTGAATAAGCTTGGAATTCATTTTGTTTGAAACACAAAATTGAATTAAATCTTAATCATTTTTTTTCTTTGACTTTGTGTGGTCATTTTCAAGTTATTAAAATTCAATTTGATTAAAAAAACTAATGAAAAAAGACCAAACTCATTTACTTATCAATGAGTGAAAATGGCTAAATAAACTTGCCCGAATACATAAAATATGAATGACAGATTCTCAGATAACTTTCATTTCAAGTTCTAATCTGTTAGGTTACTTTGATTTCCTCATGAGGATTTAGATGTTATCATCAGAAAAAATTGATCATCTTCATCAAATAATAAAATAAGAACAGAAAAAATCTCAATTAATCAGCAGAAAAAAAAAATTATATCAGATTATTTGAAGATAAAGTTATCATGTGGCAAAAGGTTATTGCAACATTAACGTTATCAGAATGCTAAGATGCTTATCGTTATCATCCAATGATGATGATGATCATGATGATGATATCCATTAGCTTTGTTTTTCTGGTATATATATTTGATATATACTGAATGATTCTGATCACGCAGGGTGAACATGAATTTCATTGAAGGTGAAAAATGAATGAATCTGGAATAATGATTTTCAAGGAAATGAAACAATTATCAATAACCAAAATGTAATGTTATTATTTAACCTACTGGGAGTTGATGGTGATAATTATCATTGTGTTATTATTATTAATCGTTGTATAATCAGTGGTGAATTGTTACCTTTTCAGGCCATAAACGAATGCAATGGCGATACATTCAAAGAAGGCAATAATTAGAAGAGGAAAGTTTCCGGCAAAATTGTCAAATAAGGTGAATATATAACTACCAGCACCATGAGCAAATACCAATGATAAAAGAAATGATACCAAACAGATAAATCCTACAATAGAAATGATAACAATACGTTAGTAAATATTGTTACTTGACTTGTAGGTTATAAGGTTAGTAGGTCAAGGTTGAATCTATGGGGTAAAGGTTTAGAACTGAGTTTAACAGAGTTCTCGTATTCATGATGTTACATGTACATTTTTTTTTACAGGTGAAACTTGTTGATATTGAATTGAATATGTATATTGTTACCTGTTAAGATTTCTTTCCGTAAATTGGGAAATAATTTTAAATCTACGATTGATGTTACTGCTCCTTCCAGGGTTCCAAACTGGGAATCGATTCCAAGGGTGAATAACATGAGGAAAAATAGGATTGACCATAATGGAGCGAACGGAAATTCATTTATGGCCTCGGTGAAAACGATAAAAGCTAAACCAGTTCCTGAGGCTCCCTGAACAAAATTATTCAGATATTATTCAGTTAGTTCTCAATATGATTTATACAACATGAAATGTCAATTTAGTTTTGAGAACACCAGTTGAAAGTATTTACTATTTTAGATGATCAATATTAATATGATCATAAATTATTCCCGATTTTTGAGGAAAAAAATATGAATTTATCAGTTTTTGTCACTCAGATTTTATGGATTAACTTGTAAAAAGTTCCAACTTTCAGTCTTGTGTTTAATTCACAAGGAAGCCAATTCTTAACTAATGTTTATCATGAAATCTATAAAAAAATGAATTTTCATGATAAATTACTCGCAAAATGAACATTTCTAAAAATCTTCTGATAGGAAGCAATTCATCAATTGATATATTTGATAACACCAAAGAAATAGTCTGACTCAGGTTATCTGATGTTATCATAATATATGAACTTCCCGAGTAATTTTATTGATTAGTTGATGAGAAAAACAAAAAACAAAAATGAGATAATCTTTTGTCATGTTTATAAGAAAAATTGAACGACAATGAAAAATATTCTGGATAAAGTTTTACCAACTTCCTATTCTTGTTTCAAGATCTTTTTCCATGGACTAATTTCCTAAATAAACAAGAAAAAGGTCGAACGAGAAAAAGAGAACTTTCCTCTCTCACTCTTCATTCTCATCTTCTCTCTGTCTCTAAAGAAAAATAGAAAGATGATAACCATGATAATAGTGATGATCATGGAAGAATTAATAGTTTAATGTTGAAAAAGAGAGAATGAAAATATTTTCAGAATAAAAGTTTCTGAATAAAAAAGTTTTCGCCTTAATCATGTTCGATATTCAAAATCTATTGTAATACCATCATTAGAATTCTCTTTGAATTAATGTACAACATGAAATGCTGAAAGAGTTTCATATTATTATTATTATTATTTGAATAATTATAATTAAATCATATGTTGTTAATCAACCGATACATAATTCATAATCCATCAGTGAACATTAATTATTAATGTGAATCAAATTAGTTACGACTCTCTCTCTCTCTCTATTATAATGATTATGAAATTAATTTTCAAATTAAGTAAATTACCTTATCCAATTCTTCTTGAATATCACATTTATCCAAATGAATCGTGGCCGTAGAATTGAGATAAACGATTCCATCCAACATGGGAAATTCCTTGAGGCCATTAAGATCAATATAATTTGTTCGATTTTCTATGCATCGACTATTGATTTGATGAGCTTTGAAACCTTAGAAATTGAAGAGAAATCAGTAAATTAATCAACATTAAAAGGTTATTAGAATTGATTGATTGATTGATTACCTAATATCGAGAAAACAACGATCCCCGCAAACATGGAAGTGCCACAATTAGTTAAAGCCACGAAGATCGCATCTCGATAACAGTTATTATGAACTGGATTATATGATGAGAATGCGATTAATCCTCCAAATCCAAGTCCAAGTGAGAAAAATATTTGAGTTCCAGCTTCGAGCCAAACAATTGGATCCAACAATTTAGACCACTTCACAAAGAAAAACCAAGTTTAATGACCAACAATTAGAATTTACTATTGTCAGAATATAATTAGAATTTACCTTTGGAGTAAATAGATGTGATACTCCGGCTGACATTCCCTTAAGTGTTATCCCTCGGAAGAAAAATATTAATAGTACAAAATATGGAAAAGTGGCCGTCACATAAACTACCTTGAAATAAGACAATAAGAGAGCAATTAGATTAATCAGTTCGAATGATAATAAATCATATCGTCGATATGACGAAAAACAGTTTCGATGAGATAATAGAGAGAAAAACAAAGAAATCTATTAGATTAGAAATGAACCACAATGAATTATCATGTCGAAGAGTAAAAGTACAAATATTAACACCAAATGCTAGAGAAACTGATGAAAATGTAATAACTAAAATGTAAGTAAATAAATTCTCATAAATGTCTTGTTCATTCAAGCTGAATGTTATGATTATTACAATAAACATGTTGAAGAAAATAGAAACATTTTCAACACAAATCGATGAGAAATTCATTGCCTCAGGTTATGAGAATTTTATCAACTTTATAACGAATCATTTTCTAATAGATTCTAAATGAAATTTCTTAAACAATATTCTCGAAATGGATCAATCCTTATTCACTTATCAGCATAATGATTAAGAATTTGATATTGATTGAAGGATTTTCAGACTATTACTATGAATGGAATACAATAGTATCTGAGAGAGAGAAACCTTTCAAATGAATAGCCTTCGATTTATCTATTTTCGACTGATACAAATTGTCTATTAATGATCTATTTTTATCATCATCTTCTAGTGGAGAATCACTAATTGAACGAGTTTAAATGATTATCCGAATGTTATTGTCATGGACTCGGTGGAAAAAATGAAAATAATCGAACATGATTCTTCAATTAGACATAAATGCTTGGAAAAATGAACAAATTGTTCAATCAATTAGAGCTTGAAATTATTCATTGATATTATAATTCCATGAATAACATGATGAATATCAGTGTGTTAAGTCAATAGTATTCTGGAATACATGATGAAATTAACATGAAGATGTATCTGAACATTATAATGAAAGAAAATGAAAATAGAAGGTATTTATATATAAACAAATCGATGAAGTTTCCAAGTTGAGCAAGTTATTCATGATTCAGAATTTTCTTTTCTCTATTTCTTATTTTTTTCTTCATTACTTTTCTCTCTGAATTTCCCAGGAACAGAAAAAGATGGAAAAAAGGTGATGATGGAAATGAAGAAATCGATAATTCTGATGGGAATCGCAAAGCGAAAAAAAGTTTAGTATTATTATCAGTCGAGGGAAAATACTCCATGTCCATGAACAGAGATAATTCATATTACATTGTATGTATAAGAATCAAAAAGAATCAGTGATTAATAAACTGAATACATGATAAATTCATCAAGGAACATCAATCCAACAATAATGTTCGTTTCTTTGTTATCTGGTGAAAATCATCATTTCTATTGTCAAGTATTTAGACCATATAATAGATTTGGAATAAGAATTTCTCATCAAGATTCTATCTTCTTCTTGTGTCATATTCGAGTATCATTGAGTTTCGATATTTCTTTTTTTCCTCTCTCACTAAATTCGACTATTTTGTTTCTATCCAATTGTTTGAGTTCCATGAAAACTCAGGTAACAAATTAGCAGAAGTTTGTATATAAAATCCAATCGGTTACTTTATCGTCGACTGAATAATATGTCTCAGAGATTGAATTTTTATCTCTCCCTGAAAGTCATGATAATCTCAATCCATGTAAGTAGATTTAACTGATGATACACGAGGGAATTGAATCGACTGATTTACTAATCAACTAGGGTTATTCATTCAATCTTAGAGAATTGGATCAAGTAGTATTGATGATTTTTAGAATGAAAAATTTACACTTTCTCAGAATTTTCAACATTATCTAATTTAATGAATTTCCAATTGAAACTTATGATCAATTTATCTTAATCCAATAACAAAGTTACCATTTTAACTCTTCAATTGAAATCTTATTACTAAAAGATATTCACTTTTATCGATCAATTGAAATGATTGCTTTTCGTCATCTAATAATAAAAAGATGACACTAATGGTGGAAAGATATTGAATCAATATTGATTATAAAATACGGAAAACTTTATGTTTATCATCAAGATATAATCTCAATTCTCTATGTGAGCTTATTGGTAAAATGATGAGCTTAATCCGATGGTGTTAATCCAGATACTGATAAAAGTTACAATAGGAAAATGTATTGGGAGAAAATGGTTTTCACGAAAAAAAAGTTCAATGGCTGAAAATAAACATGCGATTATCATTCTCATGGTAATATCATTTTCATCAATCAGAATGATTCTTGTTCGTTGTGATCATTATTATGATCGATATCGTTTCTCTGGCATGTCGATTATGCTTCTCGTATATATTTTGAACATTCACCGGTTTAAATTTTGTTTGTTTTCTGTTTATTTCTGGTGAAATTCTGGTTTAATGTTTCACCATGAGATTAATGTTTTTCTCAATGAAAGAGAGAAAATACTTTTTTCCATTTAATCTCTCTCTCTCTCTCTCTCTCTCTCTCTCTCTCTTTAAGTATTTTCTTTTTCTAGTGAGACTCAGGGTAGAAATTTATTCTGGATTATCTGAACAAGTTCCCCATGTTCATCATCTTTTCAATCTTTTCTTTTCTTTACCCCAAGCATAATCTATGGAACTGCAAAATCAAATGATTCCTATTCTTCATTGTATCATTTTTTTCTTCTTTTTTTAAAACTTTTACACTTTTCGATTTTTATATTTATATAATAATAATAATATCGCAAAGGAATTGATATTTTTTTGCTTGACATTTTATTCTTCTAACTCGTATGTGTATTATTTTCTTTCGTGGCTCTCCTTTTATTTCTCTATCCAAGAATGACAAGTTCGATGACAGAAAAATATATAAAATATTGAACAGAATCATCGAGGAATATTTTTTTCTCTCTCTCTCTCCCTACCACTACCAACACCGCTGAGAATTATGATTTAGAAGATGAATTATGTTCATGTTAACATGATGAATTCATGTTGGAACAGAAAAACGTTAATGATTAAATGATTTCCATTGTAATCATAAAGTCAATAAATCTAATACAAAATGAATAAGAAAAGTGATCACAAGCATCCAAAAAAACTGAAACTCACAATTTCCACAATTCACATCGAATTGTGGAAAATAATTTCCATCGAATTTTAAATTTTAACAAAATTCGATAAAAATATTATCGAATCGTCTTTCAGTTGATAAATGACAATTTTTCTCATTCGTTGAAAGGTGAATAACATTTTTATCCAGTTGAATACGAAAACTTTTAAAAGGTTTCTCACCACAATCGATTCATTATCGATCAGATTATTATTCTGATTATTGGCCAAACTCAACCAACCGAAATTATCACAAGCATGATAATAATTATCTTCCGAAGATTATTGACCCAATTTCCATAATTAATGAAGATATTTGATACACATAAAGATTCACTATTATTGATTCTGTTTGTTTCTCGTCTTAATCAGTCTCGATTCTGTGAATATCGAATTTGAATTTAGCTAAATAAGTAGATTTTACCTTTCCAGATGAAGCGATTCCCTTAACCATACAAAGGTAACACAGAATCCAAGCGAGTAAAAGACATCCAGCGATTTTCCAATTGAAATCTTGGAAATTTTCGATCTCATTGGATATATTAAGAGTCTCTCGGTACCAAAAATACTGAGTAGGTGAACTTCTCTGTGAAGAAAAGAATATAAGAATTATCAGAATTTCCTGTAATCTTTTTCATGATACTGTTACCCTGAATCTGAGAAAGATTCTAACAGTTGATAGTTTATCATATTCTTCAATTTATTTTTCAATATAATTCCATTTCAATTCTTTCCTATTCTAAGCTATTCAGAGATGATCAATCAACTTTAATCTTATTAGTTTGAAAGTTTCCAATCAAATTAAGATACTCGATATGTGGAAACAATTATCTACCGGAATTACAGAGATAATAATCGAGATATTTTCTCCATCAATAATGATTATCGTTTCATGGAAGACAAGGAAAAAATCTTCGATTAGTTATTAATCTACTTCTGAATGTTAACAAGTAATAATCATTACAAATCTCGAGTTTCGTTTATCAATCAAAACCTAAAGTTCAAGTCGTTGAATTTTCGTGAATTATTATAATAAGTTAGTTAGTAAATTATGCTTACCGAACATTCAGAATTATTAACATAAGTACCATTTGGATAATTATCTTTTGGACAATTAGCCCAAGGTAAAGGAGATTCGAAGCTATTTAACAGGTAAAATATACACCAAGCGATGATTGTATTATAATAAAGGGCAACATTGAATGAAACAACAGCCGAAGCGATTCCAATTCCTCCCATGTAGGTTGATACAAGATTCCAGGCTCCGATAGCTCCTTTTCTTAACCTTTGACCCACAGCAAGTTCAAGGTAAAAAACTGGGATCCCCATGACTGCCAACATCATGAAATATGGGATTAAAAATGCACCTTAAGTGAAGAGTAATAAAGATTTGATTAGTTGCTGAGAGAGATGAAAATTCATTTGATATAATTTTATATAAATTCTGTCATAAAATCAATCGATTTCAATTGATTGAGAAAAAAAAGTTCATTCAAACTCAAAATTCTTAACATGAGTTGAACTAATTGAACATTATCGTTAATTGAATTTCGACTAAATAATTTATTATTAATTTTCTTCTTTTTTTCTCTCATCAATGATTATATTAATAGAAGTTCAATATTGATTTCGATCGAGAATTAAAAGTATCAACAACATTTTACTTGGTAGAATTCGAATTCTTTACTGATAAAATTCTGATATTATCCAGATCGAAAGGTTTCGAAATCGAAAAGACAATAACAATCTGATCGAGAAACCTTTCAATACGAAATTCGTGTTAAACTCTTGCAAATAATAAATCAATTCGAGAAAATTTCTTGTTCTTATCAATTATCATTTGATAGTAATCAGAACTTTATCGAATTATGAACGAACTTTACAATCGATGATGATAATAATTCGATAATATCTATGAAGATTAAGCTTTAGTCCAATTGTGTGTGTTGAAGGTAAAATGTTAGGTCATTTTTGATCGAATTAGGTCAAATTTTGTTGAGAAGAAAACTCGAAATGTGATTAGATTACAAGAGAAGGATAAACAAAAATAAAAGACAATCAATCTTTCCATTGGTCAATTTATTAATTGTTTATTTGTAAAAATCTTTACACAGCTGATTTAGATTCTGGCGTTTATAACAAAAGTTAATCCTGATTCCATTTAAGGAGAAGATGATTTAATCCATTTCAATCCTCATGATTATACCTTAGTGAGAGATTTAAGCTTTACGATGAGAAGAAGGGAGAAAAATAATAATAGTTACTCTATTATTATAATCTATGGTTCAGAAGGCTAATTATATACTAGCAGAATCTCAGGAGTCATGAAGTTATCGTGAAATTATCATGATATCAGATAACATTACTATAATAAGAATAGGGAAATATATTATTACTATTATTTGGATAAATTGTGTGACTGAAAGAAATAAAATTGAGGTTGAGATTCTGAACCGATTATTTTGATGATTCAGTTGAAATTATGAGCATTTGATGGAGTTGAAAAAAGTTCTGTGGATGAAATTTCATTTTAGAAATTTTTTCTCTCACAACTTGAGGTGTAATTCTGGACTTACCTCCGCCATTTTTTTGTGCCAGGTACGGGAATCTCCAAACATTACCTAATCCTACAGCGTATCCAATGGTCGCGAGCATAAATTGTAATTTACTGTCCCAAGATTCGCGTCCATCCTCCCCGTCCCTGAACACTTTATCCGCTTCGTCCGCTGTAATCATGTCAAGTGTCAACTTTTCAGTAGTCTAATGAATCAATAATCATAACAATAATCAAAGTCTTAATAATTTATGATCAAAACAAAAGTATTACATCAATGACAAACATTGAAAGTGTAAATTAAATTATAGTAAATTATATCAAAGAGTCATTGGTTTTACCAGCAAATTGAATTAGTTCATTCATATTATATTTGAATTTCATGGAATGAGAATGAAAATTGTTCATGATATCAATTGAAAGTTGATTCTAAAAAGGTTGATTGTTGTGATGAAGTTAATTAATGTGAAATGATGATCCTAATCTCCATTTAATGTCAAATGGGAAAACAATAGATTCTGTTTATATAATTACCATTACTACTTATATCATTTTGGGAATGCTCAGTAGGAGATAATCTGTATTCAGGGGATGATGATGATGAAAAAGGATATATTCTGATTTCTTATCGTAGGCTAATAACAAATAAGTAAATTTAATTAAATGGTACTGAGGATAAATTGAATTACATGATTAAATCAACAGAAAATGTTACAATTACTATTGGGATAATAATAGTAATCATTTATTGTAACCACGAAATTACTGTTATCATGCCACTTAACTTTTTCTGATGAGAAACTAATTAATTACCGATTGATGGAAAGGTCCAAGGTTAAGGTGTTTCGAGTTTTCGAATTGATTTTCCAATTGTTCTAACAAGTTCTAAACATAAACATTTTGTTATTCTTATTTTTTTTCTCTCATTCGAATCTGTTTATTTTTCTCTCATTTCAAATGAACATTTTCAACTCTTTTCTGCTTTCTTACGATTATTCAGTTACCATGAAAACTTGGAATAAAATTATAATCGATAAGAGAGAAATATTCTTGAAGAACATTTAATTTTATCTTCTATTACTATTGAACATTATCACGAATTGTTGTCACAGTTTAGTGAGTATTTAAACTATTACAATTGTTAGTAAATTCTTATTCCAATCATTGAACTGGTATCGATTAAATTTCACTAATGATTGACTACAATTCACTTATTATAATTAAGGTAACAAGGTGAATGTTTTGAAAGTTTGTATTCAAATGTTCTAGGAAAATAGTTGACATTTTATTGACAATTTTACAAGAATATTGATTGATATAAATGAAGTAATTATTCAATATTAATTGTAGCAATTTAGAGTGGATCAAATTTTCAATTCGTTTGTTAAACTTTCAAATGTTATTGTTTGAAAAAAGTTTCAATTTTCAGTTCAATTCAATTCAGTTTTCCATGAATTTTTTTCATCTTTTCCTTTTTTTGGACATTAAGGTTACGATTGGACAAAAATACTGACCTCTGACCCCAAAGGTGACACTTCATCGTTAAAAGCAAGATTACTTGTCCCATAAAGCGAAGCTCGGCCATTTTCCATGGCCAATCGATCTTTAAGTTCTTTAAGTTCTAACCTTTCACTAACTGGAAGCTCAGATTCTGTCATTTGTTTTCTCATGATATTCTGCATTCTGATTGTTAATATTTGATTGGAATCACGGGTTAATTGTAATCAATGGAAAATCACAGAGTCACAACAATTAATCACTTGCAATTAATCACACAAAATAAAGATGTTGACAGTTGATTAAAACAAATCCATTTGGAATCACATTTGTTTCCAGTTTTCAATTTCAATTAAACATTTTCGATCAACGAGATTAATTATTATGTAATAATCCTTGAGGGGTTTTAATTGTTAAAACGTTTTATAATCATCACAATTTAATAGATTGTCAAGTTGATTAGATTTTAGCTTGGCCATGAATTGTATCACTTTGATGGTTCTGATGGATATGATTTTTTTTTCCTCTCTTTCCTTTTTGATGTTCAGATTATATAAGAAAAGTCAAATTCACTTGATTGTATTACCTTTTACACATGGAGCATGATTCCTACTGAGAATCATGATCCGAATCATTTAACCGAAATTGAGTTGAACTCATGGAGAAATGACTGTTCATGGGTTAATCTTTAATATCGATTATTGAACATGAGTCGCCTTCTATTAGAATATCATCATTCCTTATTATTGATCGATTTCCATTTGATATCGAAACGATAACTCATCTAATCAAATATAATAATTTTCTCTCAAATCGATCATCAATTGTGATAATTGTTTCAAGAGTTTTCATCAAACAAAATGTTCACGATGAGAAGAGAAAATATCAACAATACTTTTTACTCGAAAAGTTCAATTATCAAGTTTTTCGATTGATCTTTACAATCAATATCTTTCTAATTACAAATCTAAACCTCGAATGATAAAATATTATGTTTATCTTTTTGTTTATTGTTCATTTGTAATCAAGAGTTGATTTGATTGGAAATTTCTATGGGAATTGTTGTTTATATCAAGAGAAAAGATAATTAATCGCTTTTAGTAAATTAATTGGTAGTTTTTAGGATTAATTGTTACTTGTTGGATAAGAAAAGTGATAATCTGATTCGATTTGAAAATTTATCTTTGAATTTGTTGCCATGACAACTGAAGGTTTGGAGAGTTGGATAGAAAAGGAAATCACATTTAAACTCTTTCTCTTATGTTTCAAGTTAATCTCTTGTTAAAGTCTCTGAATTTAATCAAATTAAAACCACCGATTAACCTAATTGTTAGAATGTCAACTTACGGATTCATTGAAAAAGGTGTTCCAAACACTACTAATTACCGAATGTTCCTGAGTAAGTAACTAATTTATTCTTAGCCTTTTCTTTGATTTCTCTCATTCTCTTTTTCTCAATATCTGATTTTGTATTTTCCTTCTTTCCAAGACTTTCTTATTTCTCTATTAATTGTTGAGCCTAAATCTTGATTTCTACTAATTTTAATCTCTCTAATTTCTGTTTAATTTTGGTACTTCTAGCAAATTCCAGTGTTCCCATATCTCCGTTTCATGATATTCCTTTGCTCTCTGATGCTGCCAATAAGATTTACAATATGGTGGTTGAGGTTCCCCGATGGACAAACGCTAAAATGGAAATCGCCACAAAGGAAGGCCTAAACCCGATCAAACAAGATGTCAAGAAAGATGCCCTTCGATATGTGAAGAATTGTTTCCCTCATAAAGGTTACATTTGGAATTACGGTGCTTTACCACAAACATGGGAAGATCCGAATCATTTAGATGAATCTACCGGATGCCGGGGCGATAATGATCCAATTGATGTCTGTGAAATTGGTGATAAAGTTCATCCTCGAGGTTCAGTTATCCAAGTGAAAATATTGGGAGTCTTTGGTTTGGTTGATGAAGGAGAAACCGATTGGAAATTGATTGCTATCGATGTTAATGATCCACTAGCCAAACAATTGAACAACATTAATGATGTTGAAACATTAAAAACTGGACTATTAAAGGCAACTCACGAATGGTTCAAAATCTATAAGGTTCCTGATGGTAAACCAGAAAATAAATTCGCCTTTGATGGTAAACCCAAGGATAAAGCTTTCGCTGAAAATGTAATCGCTTTAACTCACGAACATTGGAAAAAATTGATCACCGCTTCACCAGAATCAAATATAAACACTTCGGGACTTGACCTACGAAATGTGACCATTGCCAATTCACCTTATAAGATAGAAAATCCTCTCACTATTGTAGACTCTTCCCCTGACCTTGCCACACCCAAAGAAATCACAGATTCTGAACAGGTAGCCATCGATAAATGGTACGTTGTTGGTTAATTTCAACAACAAATTATCGCCACGATTTCAATATCGAATTATTTTTAGTAACAAGATACTTATTGTTAGAATCCTTTCAAGGAAAATCTTGAAAATTTTGGGAACAAAAAGGTAAAGGGTTAAAATTGAAGGTCAATTCTGATCTGTATTAGTTTTCCTAATGATGATCTTGAGCTTTCAACCGATGGTCAGAAATTTACATGTTAATCTGGTTTTTCGAGAATAAATAATTTTCTTGGACAATACATTTTTCGATCGATAGAAATGTTTTATTTCATTTAAACTGAAAAAAAAGTTCTAACATTTTCAGTGAGACATTTTCGTTTTCTAGCAAAAATCACATCCGTTTTTGGAAGTTTTTTTTTTCAAATGGATCATGTGGATGTGTTTATGTGCTTGTGTGTCGATACATTGGTACTAAATTACTGTCGATTTACTAAAATACATGTTTCAGGATCAACGAAAGTTCGGGCAAGAATTTCAGTTGGTGTGAGAAAAATAGAAAAGGTTAAATTGTGAGGAAATTGTTTACGATTTTAGAGACTCAACATAAAAGCGTTTAAACAACAACATGGGTCCAACTTTGTATCTTTTAAATCATTTCAGTTTGTCTACGAATCGACGAGAACAATACAGAAGTTGAGATGAAGATTACAATTCGAGACTTGGAACTAAATTGCCGATTTTATTGTCTTATTGCCAATCGATTTTTGTGCTTTGGTTAAGATTTAATTGATTTGAATCGGTTTCTCCTCATATTCCAGTTGATTGGTGTAAGTCAACGATTTCGACGACAAAGGAAATGTACTTTGCTATTCATTTTGGAGTAATAATTGTAAAAGTGATCAAAAGTGTTCACGTAATTAGTGTTCAATTGATGGTGTTTATGGATGTGTGTAAGTGTATGTGTTCATATGTTGAGCATTTTCCAGTGTAACTGAGACAGAATATGAATATTTATATGATCAGAGTGATGAAAGATGAAAATGAAACATTAGTTTTGCTTGGGGCGATGAAAACAAGTGAGAAAAAAACTTTTTCAACATAAGTGACATTTAAATTGCGATTTGGTTGTGTAAATAATAGAGATGATTTCTTTTTCATGGTTATATTTCTGGTTTCCATTGAATCCTCTTTGGTGTTTCATGGATCATCATGGTGTTGATTTTACAAGAATTGTAATTAGACCAAAAAGTTCATGGTGTATATATAAAAACATTTCATGTTCATCGATTGAGAATCTTAGACAATTAAAAGATTGATTTTTCTCTGTAAATATATTCGATTAACTATTAATATGTATAAACATAAATGCAGTTTAGATTCTCATTTAGGTTAATTATGGGCCAAGTTTTGAAAGTTAAAACTAAATGACCATCTTGGGTTATTATTATTATTATTACTGGGAAGCTGGTTAATCAATAGCTTCGGGCTACGACATCAACATGAAATGACGAAAGGGCGATTGCTTTTTGACACTCATCATTTGACTAGATGCCGAAAGTAAGCAAAATTTATCATGATAATTGCGTTTTTTTGTTTGGTGAAAAATTTGATCCAATTTGATGAATATTGATAAAGTTAATTTATCGGTTAATTGTTTTGACTATTAATCTGGGTAAAGATTAGGGAGAGAGAGAGATTATATTGTGTCATGATTATCTTCTATCCTAGAATTCTTGTTTTTTTTGTTCTCCTCTGGTGATATTTGTATCATTTTCTAAATATCTATCAATTCATCTTCGAGAAAAAAATGACGGTTTCGTTAATTTCGATAGGAAAGCGAATCTTTTCAAATGTGAACTTGATGAAGTTGAAGGCGATGATGATGATGATGATGGTGTTGCTGTTGACGATGATGCAATTGGTATCGAAGAAGATGATGATTTATTTGTATTTCTATCAATACTGGTGGTAGATTTAGTTTTAGGTTCATTGTGATTTTGAGGAGGTCGATCAACTAGTTCAAAACGAAGATAGAAGATATCGGATAACTGTCAGAATTCAGGGAATCTGTTTGGATCATCAGCATAATCACTTGGAACTTCAAACAGATCATCAGCAAGATTATCGTCGAACTGAAAATCTTGGAATGTTATCCGAGCGGTAACAAATGGTGGAATTGGAATATCTGAAAAAAAGAAACGAATAAATCTCATTAGACTTAATTGATTCATAAACTATTCTAATTCCTCAAGTAATCAACGTTATCATTTTCCAAGGTGATCTCAATTTAACATGATTAAAATTCAGGTCTTAGTCAAGGAAGTAACAAAATTATGAGTAATTTGTGTTAGTTAATGACAGTAAATTATATCAATGAAAAATCACACTGAATGGTAAAGAAAAAGTCACTTTCAGGACTAATAAGATGGAAACAATTAACATCCAAATACCTTCAATGCAAGGCTATTAGATTAAAACTGTTTGATTGTTGAAATATGACTGAGTAATCATAATCCTTGAATCACTTATTCAGTACCATTAAAAATTCAGGTGAAATTTCATCAACAATATAACAGAAAAAGACTCATGAACAAACTATCATGTCCTTGACAAATGAGATAAAACAATGAGCATGAAAAAAAAAACGTAACCACAATTCATCTTGTTGATTGAATCAATCAATTTAAAGATTATTTCCTAATCGATTGGATAATTAAATTGGGTCAACTTTGTACCTAATTTAACGGGAAATCCTGGTGGTAATTTCATCTGGACGAATTCTCTTAATTTTCTGAAATGCTTAAATGGTGCGATGACTTCTAAGACATTGAGAAGCGATTCAACAGAAAGTGGAAATTGTTCATCCTAAAAATCAGAAAAAAGAGAAGAAAAAAAAACAGAAAGTTATTGATACAATTATCTAAATGATTATCAATATAAAAGCAATCAACTAATTACCATGGCAAGAGTTGCTTTATATGCTTTGGTGCTTCCTTTACATTTTATTTCACGGCCAAGATTTGGTAGTTCACCTGATGGACAGTTGATATATTCATCCCAGGTAACGGTACATTTAGATGGTGGTGGAAGTGACCTTCTTCTTGGCGGTGGTTCGGGATATGGATCTACCGCCATGGATCCGGTTACTGCTCCATGAGCAAAATTTTCAAGAATTGCTCGATTCCTTTGAAGATCTTCTGATGTTAAATGTTCCCGTCGTTTCCTTGATTCAAGGTATAAACCTCCAATGTAATAAAAATCGGCCATAAAAGGGCCAACCATTTCCGTTTTATCTTCACGAAATAACCAACCCGATTGGGCTCGAGTAAAGGTTATACTTTTAGTTGACATTTGAGCTGCAACAATATCTTGTGACATTAAAATGTCAACTTCATCTTCTATTTCAACTTCCGATTCTTCATATCGTAATCTTTGATATACTTTCATCTTATTATCCATAACGGTTAACGATTGAGATGGTTTTGCGTCTCCCATGAAAACGAAACTTATATCACCTCGTTCCCATTTCATATCACTAAAATCGACTAGAGTTGTGTCCAAACGGATATTACAGCCTTTCTTTTGTATCGTGCAAACATCGGAGGGCAAATAACGAGAGACTAGAGGTACCCAACTTTGGAAATCCCATTTCAGTTTCATACTAAAATTGCCGATTGAATTGAGAGCACGAATAAGATCAGGTCTACGAATTTCCATTGCTTCTCGTGATTGTTTCTTCAGTTTTCTAAGTAAACATGTAACTAGAATAGAAAGAGAAATATAATCAATTTAAATGGAGAGAAAACAAAGAGAAAAATTAATCAAAATGAATTAATTACAATATGTAAACAAAGAATTGTAAAGAAAAACAATCAACATTTAGTATAATTGTAAAGTAATTGTTTGTAGTAAAAGTCAAGGCTGTCGATGGTTAAACATGATTATGCTTTTTTTGATCTAATTCTTGAAACAAATGTACAATTTATGAATCAAATTAATACGAAAATACGATAAATTAAAGTTGATGAGAAACTTAGAAACTATTTAGACAAAAGTTAATTCTTTTGAATCGCAATTCTATTCGATAAATGAAGAATAAGACATTTAGGGTTCGTTGAGAGATGAGAATATATTTCTAACGATTTTGGAAGAGAAACAAAAAGACAAATAAGATAATAAATAATAGAAAAGGAATCGATATTTATAACAAACAAATGGAGAAGAGAAAAGATCAAAAAGAAAACGAGGAAGGATGGAAATAAATTAGAATATGGAAACGGAAAATTACATCATGAGAATAGTTGATGGGATCGAGTGAAATGAGGGGAAAATATGATCATGATAAATTGCGAATTCAACAGAGAAAAGATTAATGTGAGAGAGGGAATTGGAAAAAAAAAGATAAACAAACGACTAACTTGTCTGGCGATCTCCATAGCTAATCGCTTCAGCTAATGGACTCCATCCTTGGCTGTTTTTCACTTTGACTGGTGCTCCATGGGCGAGGAGCAATTGAATACACTCCTTATGGCCAAGCATTACAGCTAAATGAAGAGGTGTATTACCTGAATGGGAGAGAATGTCAATAATGTGATTATTAGCGAGGAGAAATTATGTTTGACCGATTTTTGGAGATGTTTGGGTTGTTCTTAATGGAAATGGAGGTTAGGGCTTGGTCATGGTGGAGATTTGTTTATCTTTTAGTTTGGATTTAAAGAGAAAAATAAAACAATAACAAACATCATCTTCTTATTACTTACCGTGAATATCTTTGGCATTTATGTAACGTGGTTTAAGAAATTGGGGAATTCGTTTAAGATCATTGATGAAAACACTTTTATGGAGCGGGTATTTATCTTCGTAGGACATTGTAAGATGTGAAAAGGTTAATTAAGTTAATTAATAAATAAGCTTTTCGTTAGAGAGAAAGGAGAAAGAGAGAGAGAGAGGGAGGTAAGTACATGAATTGTATGTTATGTTTATGTTTTTGGAAAAACTCATTAGTGAGTTTAACCAATTCTGCTATTCTCACGTAACCCAAACGCTATTTTCACGATTTTAGGTCAATTTTTTAAATTTTTCTCAAGATTTTTTTCTTTACAATTAACTCAATCCTCCACAATTACATTGGTTAATTTGTAATCAACTGATTGTTATGATCCTTAAATGATAATTTGACTGAATTGTTGTTTAATCTAAAATCTAGGAATCAATGAACATACTGGATTTAAATTGAATCGAAAACAATTTAAGTTGTATTGTATTATCATGGATTACAATTTATTTAGATAATTTAAACACGTGTTTTTCACATTTAATGTGATTAGGGTTTCGTTTAATTGTTAATCTTGTCGTTCATTGATTAGATTGGAATAAGAAAATAACTAAACGGAAGTAATTTAATGCTTTCGAATCTGAGTTCGTAAAGTAATCGGTTAAATCAACTAAAGTTAATTGTATGTTCCTTTAACTGTTGATTGTTGTTTGATTTACGAAAAAATTAGTTGATTGTGATGAGAATCTGTTACTTAATTGTGGTGTGAAAACTACAATTTTGTTTGATATTTTCTTCATCAACCAAACTAAATTAAGAAAAAATCTAAATGTATCTCTAGATTTATATTAACTGGAATTGGAATTGATTTTGTTAATTGTGTTGATCACAATCAAGAAGATTTAATCTTAGATGATTTCAACTAAATTATTGATTAATTGCTGTTGATTCAGTTAAACACTTTTACTACCTGGAGTTTGCTCTTATAAAAATCATGATAATAATAAATTAAATTGCGACGGCGCTTTTAATTGTTGGTAAAATTTTCGTTGATTCTGATTAAATGTTCACAGTTAAATTTGTTTATCCTAAAGATTGTCCAGATAAATTGTTCCAATAATAAGTGACAATTAAATTGTGAAACTGTTAATCAACTTAATTACACACATAAGGTAAGTAAATTTAGATCTCAATTTCCAAGTTAATTGTTAACAATCAACAAAATACCGTAAACAATTCAAAGTAATTAGTGTAAACTTATCGATAGATGATATTGATTATCTAGAGAAATTAAATTTGATAATTTATCTAATCATGATAATCAACGGTTCTAAGCTTAAATTGTTCAAACGAAAATCAATCATCAACAATTAACAAAACTTTGATTCGATAATTGTTACATAAATAGTTAGTTAATTGTTCAATTAGATTTCAAACTCAATATGATGATTAATATTCACTTATTATATTGTAGTTAATCAATGAAAGTTAATTGTTCAATTTAAAATCTATTCTCAAATCTTTAATTAATTGTTAATCATAATTTGAAAATTTCTCATTTCCATGATAAATGTCATAATGAATTAAATTGCTAAATTGTTCAAGATAATCAGAATTAATAAATTATCCCCATGAGAATTGTTTTTCTTAAATTGTTAGCAATCAGAGTAAATAAACTAATCACTCATGATTAACATGATAATCAATGGAAACCTAATCACTAGAGATTAACTTTTAACTAATTTAAATTGTTGGCGAAAATTAAATTTAATAATTTCCATAATTGAATTAAACTTGAGAAGAAAGCAAAAAAGTATCTCCAATCATTGATTAAATAACCAGAATAATTAACCAATTCCATTGATAATCATGATGATTAATTCAACTGATTAATTAATGAGATTGAAAAAAAAACTGTTGATTGATTAACATTTAGATATAGATTCATTTCTAATTGTTTTAATCAACATTATTGTTGTAAGAATTAACATTTTATAATCTAATCAAATGAAAAGATTTGATTTAGTTAAAAGGTAAACTTGATAATTTAACAATCAACAATCAACAATTAACATAAAAGGATTTCATTACTTTCCATTGACTGGAACAAAAAATCAACAACAATTAGTTAGACAATTTTGATTCAATTATTTAATAGCATTTCAATTCCCTTGTATTATCATTTATAAATTAGTTTGAATGTTAAACTATTATTTAACTAATTAAATACAATGATTAAATCTAAATTTCAATGAGTTACGAACTGGACTTGGTCAATCTGATTAATTAATAATTAAATTAAAAGAGTGACAAACAACAAAATAGCAAAAAAAAACCCAAAGACAACAAGAGTAATATTAATTTAATGTAATTAACTTTTTCTCATCTAATTTTTTGACTGATCAAATGTTATACACAGAGAGTAATTTACTGATTGCTATGAGAAACTGTGAATTAAATAATTTACTATTAAAGGTATGAGAACAATTAAATTTAGAGTAAAGTAATTAGATACAAGAATTAGATTACTACTCGATGCTGGGTAATAATAATTACAAACATTTTTTTTTCTTGCTAAACTCTCATTCAATTAACAGGTATCTTGTTCATTGAATTCATTTATTATCATGTTGATTATCATGATAATGTTATCATGTCATCATGATGATCATGGAAAGCATAGGAAAAAGTTGTTGAAATTGATTCAATGAATGAAAAAGTTAAATGTTTCAAAGGAAATCAACAAATGGTTAACATTAACCAAGGGAATTCAATGTATTCAAATGAATAGGAAATTATATTTATCATGTTGATTTAGTGAAACTTTTTCATTCCACCGGAACCTCAGGCTAATATCATGAATCTTTTACAAGTTTGAAATGGAAATTTTCTCGGAAAAATTCAATTTCATCAACTATTCATAACTAATAGAAATACTTTTATATAAGATGACCACTAGTTCAATGGAATCTATTGGTCAGTTGAAAAACTTTCCTTTCTCACCTGAACATGATTCATTTCATTTCCATTGAAATTTCATGTAATTGAATTGGTGATTAAATATTAGTACAATTCTCAATCTACAGGTAATTCTCAAATTTGGATGAAAAACTGAATTTCCAACAATTAATATAACATTAATAAAGATTGATTTTGGAAAAGCCTAATAAACCCTGTTGAGGATAAATAATTGAATTAATTGTAATCAGATCAATAGGAAATTGAAGCGAAACGATTAAAGATGAAACGAGGAAACAAAATGGTAGCAATTGATTTACCTTTAATTATCGTTTTGCTTGGATTACTGATTATGTTGATAATTCATGTTGATTGTCGTCATATTGTCAGTCCAGAGGGATCGAGAATTTCCAATGGATTGACCTTAACAGGTATCGGTTCAGGTACATTGTCCAGTGGATCATCACCTTTACCATCAGGATTATCATCGCAAGAGATTAAGCATCAATTGTTGATGATTCCATCTCAATATTTGATTCGACCTCAGGCAATTGATCCAATTGAAAGGTATCAATTATTAGCAAACTTAAGACGTGAACGAAGACGATTCCCTGAAGTTGGTTCAAAAGGTTTCGAAGCAGACATTTTCGATGAAGGTTTCGGTGGATTTTCAACAATGAGATAAATTTCCGGAGATTCGAGGGAAAAGTTCAATGGATTCGAGTTTGAATCGAATGAAAAAAAAATTCGATCTTCTCTCTTTCAACTTATTTATATTTACTCTTATTTCATCTCATCATTTCAGTTAATTTGATTGTTGAAATTGTTTTAATTGTTAGTGTTTAAACTTTTTTCATTTTACTCAATCAATAAATTGTTCTGTTCTCAATCAAATCAATTGTTTTGTTAATCATATTAGTTAATAATAAATCCGAATGTGAATAAAATTTGAAAAAATTGAACAGTTTTCATTTGATTCGTTTCATTTAATTTGTTCAACTAGCAATTTATTGGCAGGGTAACTTGAGGCTTCAACTGTTAACTACAGACAATTAAATGAATCAACTAAATCAAATAAATCATCATAATGGTGATGATGATCTTTCCGCCTTTCCAATGGTTTTTATCATTCGTTCATTTGTATCATAACGGATTAAGTGTATTTCCTGATTTACTTGTTAATCATTAACGATATCAGATCGATTTTGTATTTTTGTTTTCGCTCACGAACTTTGGACAAACCTTTTCGTGCGAACTGTCCACTTTATCTCTAGTCCATTCGTAGTATTCAAATTACAACTGTCAACAACATCGTCATCATCATCGACTACTGAATGTATTATGTTACAATGATTTCCATTAATTTGTTTGTCTAAATCGCGAGTTACTTTTACTGATTAATTTTGTGCAATTGAAACAATTTTGGTGTCGAAAAATTAAAAACGAAATGAAATCAATTGATAATGACAAGTTAATTGTGATCAGTGGAATCAGCGGAAGATTTTCAGGAGCTTCTGATATTCATCAATTATGGGATAAATTATGTAAAGGAGAAAAACTTTACGGAAGTGACAAGACACCTTATCCAAAAGGTAATTGATTTAGTTTCAATTCAAGAGTTTAATTGTTAATTGTTGTCCCGATAATCAGTTTTACAGAATACTCCAAAATCTCGTGGATCAATCAATGAATCGGCTAAATTTGACAACGACTTTTTCGGCCTAACCAAGGAAGAGGCTAATCTATTAGATGGTCAAGTTCGACTTCTCTATGAAGTTACATATGAAGCTTTTTTCGATGCTGGTAAGTCAATCAATTGATTGGAATAAAAGAGAATCGAATCAATTCTGATCATTTGTTGTTTTTTTTTCTTCTCTCGAATTGATCAGCAATTTTACCAAGTGAATGGTCTTCAAGTAAGACTGGAGTTTTCATCGGAAGTTTTATCGATGATACTGATTTAACACCTCGATCAAGTCCCGTTCATCAAGCGATTCCAACTCGATTATCTTATCATTTTAATCTTAAAGGTCCATCTATACGTGTTGACACTGCATGTGCATCTAGTTTAACAGCATTACAATTAGCTAAACTTTCAATAGAATCAGGTGAATGTGATCAAGCAATTGTCGCCGGACTGTGTCTTCATCAACGATCATTTATTAATGCTTCGTTCTGTGATTTCGGCATTTTATCAAAACGAGGATTATCATCACCTTTAGATAGTGATGCCGATGGTTATGTTAGAAGTGAAGCAATTATTTCGATGATTGTACAACGTAAATCGGCCGCAAAACGAATTTATGCTCAAATTATTGGAATTAAATCAAATACCGATGGATATAAGAAAGAAGGAGTAACATTTCCTAATCGATATGCTCAAAAAGAGGCCATGATTGGCGCTCTAGAAGATGGAAAAGTCAGTCCAATGGATATTAACTATATCGAAGCTCATTTGACTGGAACTCAGGCTGGAGATAAAACCGAGTGTCTATCCATTTTGATGCTTATCGTTCCGAAAGTCAAAAGCCGATTCATGTCGGAGCTTTAAAGTCAAATTTAGGTCATACCGAAGCTGCAGCGGGCTTAGCGTCACTCACAAAAGCAGCACTGATACTCCAGAATGAACTGATTCCACCGATGATCCCGCCTCGAAAAAATAACCCTGAAATTGAGCCTCTTGTGAATGGACAAATTGTCCCGGTGATTGAGCGAAAGTGTTTCCGTGATAACTTGATCGCTGTGAATGCATTTGGTTTCGGTGGGGCAAATGTTCATATTATTTTGAAGGGTAACGAAAAGACTGAATGTTCTTGGTCTTGTTCAGAAAGATTAGTTCTATTCACCAACAGAACTAAGTCAGGCATCGAAAAGTCATTTAAACTGCTCGAAACTAACGAAGAATGTCAAACGGTCGAGTTTCTTTCCTTATTAGATCATCTTTCAAGTTCGAAACCTGAATCGGGAATGATTTACCGTGCCTATGGAATAATCAGTGGAAACAAATCGATCACAACGAAAGAGATCAAACAAATATCTTCCACTCGACAATTGGGCTTACTAATTTTGAGTCCACTCACTGAATCACCCGATGGATTGTCATCTATACCTGAATTCTGTGACCTTCTCAACTGTGCGAAGGATTTGAACAAATTTTCTTCGACTGTTTCGATTATCGAGTTTTTCTATTCATTGAACTTGGAAATTGATATTATTTTAGGCTTCGACACATTAATCACTCAATTCGCTGCTAAAATTAAATCTTTCAAAGAGATGGTTACTGATTACAAGTCGACAAATCAAAAGATCTCAGGTAACCCAATTGATGTTTTTTCGCAATTGAAAAATTACCTAAAATCTGCAAGAAAATCGACTGGCGAAAATGGAACAATTTGGTCGTCGAAAGAGTTTGAAGGTCGATCAGGTCAAACTCTTGGAGAGATTGATTTTCTAATCATTGATGGTGATATTCGGCTAATTAGTGGAGACCAGATTAGCAACGTTTACCAAAAAAGTTCTAAGGTCAAATCGATCTGGCAGATTCTTGGTGAACTTTATTTACTTGGTCAGAATATAAATCTCAGTAAAATTCACCCAAAGATCAACTATCCAGTCCACAGAAATGTCCATCAATTAGTCCACTGATTCAATGGGATCATTCAAATGAATTCAACAATAACTTATACCCTGATTACTTTTCCTCAACCAATGCTACAACTCATCATATTGACTTGTTTGACCCCGAATATGCAAATATATCAGATCACATTATCGACGGTAAAGTGATCATGCCTGCAGCGGGATTCATTTACCTGGTTGGTAAGCATTTGGGATTATTATCTTTCAATCGGCCATTACAAGTTGGTCAGTTTAATTTTAGACTTTGGGATGTTAAATTTATTGAAGCTTGTTCCATGAACGAGGAAGTGGACATAATTATCATACATGATCCAGTTACATTTAAATTTGTAATCAAATCAATTGATAGTGTATTTGTTACTGGATCAGCTTCAATTGCCATATCAAATCAACATGATTCTGGTGGGATTGAGTTTAATTTGAGAACTGATTCAGTTCAGGATGACGATGAACTTAAACAATCTGATATTTATCAATTTGTCAGACTGAGAGGTTATCATTTTGAGAGGAAGTATAAAAATTTATCCCGTTGTAAGGCCACAAGGAGCATTGGTTATGTTAAATACTCGGGTGATTGGATCGCTTTTTTGGACAGTTTACTTCAGATCGATCAATTTTGGGAGACCAAATCGAGGTTACTTAAGGTACCGACATCGGTGAAAAATTTTCTCTTCGATAGTGATCGTTTCAATCAATCGCTCGAAGCTTTCAAAGATTCAGATGGATCTCAACTATTGATGGTCTCATCTTCAACTCATGGTTATGTTAATACTTATGGATTTAATCTCGATGGTATTGGTTGGACTGCAATCAAACGGCGGGACTTTGACCAGCCGAAAATAGCATTTAGTAGATTTCAAAGTTACCTGGACAACCGGATTAGTCTCAATTGTCAGAGATTGAAAGAGTTACAAGATTATCATCAACTTTGTTCATCTTCATGGAAAAAAATGAAACATGATAACAGTGTTTACGATGCTGTTGACAAGAGTTTATTACGATTTCTAATCAAGTCACAAACTCGCCATGAACCTTTATCGTTACTCCTTGAGCAAGAATCTATTCATCTTTGGAACGATATTCTAACAAATTGGCCTGATAAAGCGTTGACCTCTGTTCTCGACGTGGTTCTGAGTAATACGAAAAAATCAGAAATCGTAAAATTGGTTACATCAATCATCTTCCAAAATTACAGAGAATTAAAATAAGTGAACATTGTGAAACTCAGCGAAAGTTCAGTGAATTCATTGACCTTGGAAAACAATTTAGCTCAACGACGATTAAAGATCTTGATTTAATTGTTTACATCGATGATTCATCGAGAATTTTCCCCTCAAATGAAAGTGAAAGTATCGAAATCGGTTTAAAGAAATTCGATAATCTCGATCAACATTTTGTTCTAATCCAATACAGAACTGAACTTAGTGTTACGGAAAAGGAAATACTCAATCAATTACCTTTCGACAGTATTGACGAAAAATTAAAGTTTAATGAGCGGAAAAACTTTGACATCGAGCACCTTGGATACGTTAAAGTGGCCCAATCGTTTGTTGATCAAAGTTGCATCAAGTTTGACTTATTTCGTAAAAGATTTGACGAGAAAAGTTCAAAAATAAGTCGAGTGAGAATAGAAAATGATAACTACGATTGGATTGATGAGGTGAAGAAAAATTTAGATTCTCAAGTCGATCGAGTTTGGTTAATCGCCCAAGGCACTAACAGTGGAATCATTGGACTTTTCAATTGTCTTTTCTTGGAACCAAAGGGAAGAAAGTTACGATGTTTGTTTCGAAACACTGACGAAAAGGAAACGACCATCGATCCCATGGAATTGAACGAAATTATCGAGAAAGATTTGACCATAAATATCTACAGAAATGGATCGTGGGGCTATATGAGCTTGGAAGATATTGATACGGAAAAAGAGAATAAAGTTATCAGCGATCATTATTATTACACCTTCGAGAAAGCGGGAATGCTGGAGACTTTGAACTGGACAGAAAATTATTCCAAGACAATTTGTTCGAAGGATAAGTTGATCAAAGTGGCTTTTGCTGCGATCAATTTTCGTGATACTTTGATCGCTAGTGGAGTTGTTCCAGTTGAAGCTTATCCTAAGGAAAATTGTTTCGATTTGGGTCTTGAATTTTCGGGAACAACTTCCGATGGACAAAGAGTCATGGGAGTTGTTCTGAGTAAAGGATTCGCAAGTTATATTCCGATTGATTCGGTTTCATTTATGTTCCTAGTTCCTGATAATTGGTCTCTCAAAGATTCAGCGACGATTCCTGTTTGTTATATGACAGCTTATTATGCACTCATTGTGAGAGGAGGCTTGAAACCCGGTGAAACTGTTCTGATCCATTCGGGAAGCGGAGGTGTTGGACTTGCGGCCATCTCAATCGCTCTCAATTTAGGATGTAAAGTATTCACGACTGTGAGTAATCAAGAGAAACGATTGGCTGTAATTTCAATGTTCCCTCAATTGGATGAGAATACATCGTTCGCAGATTCAAGATCAGTTTCTTTCGAAGATCATATTCTTACACAAACGGAAGGTCGTGGTGTTGATATTGTCCTTAACTCATTGACTGACGATAAATTGATCGCTGGAATTAGATGTTTATCTCCGGGAGGGAGATTTATCGATCTGAGTAAAAGGGATTTTATCCAAGATAATCCATTAGGTGAGTCGATTTAAATTGTTGCAAATTTTGGTGATACTTTTCATCTAATCGTTTTTTTATCTGTTCTCGATACAGAAACTTATCATCTTGAGGATAACAAAACATTTGAAACTGTTTGTCTGGTATATTTGTTGACAAGTATTGAAGAAAATTCTAGATCAAAATCAGCGCTGAAAATGATCGAGAAACTTTTCGAAACGGGTTTCGAAACTGGTCAAATTGTTCCCTTACCTAGTCGAGTTTACGATAAACAGTCCGTTGAACAGGCTTTCCGAATCATGAGAAAAGGTCAACATATTGGTAAACTGTTGATTCAAATGAACGAAACTGATGAAAGTGGAAATATCCAAATTGAATCTTTACTTACAAATCGTAGGACTTATTTCTGTCCCAATAAAAGTTATCTAATTGTTGGTGGACTTGGAGGAATGGGACTTGAGCTGATCCGATGGATGGTTATTCGAGGAGCGAGGAAAATTGTTATATCATCTCGATCGGGCCTAAAAACGGGTTATCAACGTTTCTGTTTGAAAAATGCTCGAGATTTAACCAATAATCAGGCGACAATTGTCATCGTGCGATTTGATTTGACAAATTTTCGAGGAGCGGCTCGAGCAATCAGAGAGACAACTCGATTAGGTCCAATTGGAGGAATTTTCAATTTAGCCGCTGTTCTTAAAGATGGCCTATTCGAAAATCAGACGAAAGAAATGTTCCAAACTGTTTGCGATCCAAAGATTAGAATAACGAACAATCTTGACAAAATTTCTCGAAGCGAATGTCCCGAATTAGAATATTTTATCTGCTTCTCATCGATTGCGGTACAAGGGAATTTAGGTCAAACCAATTACGCCTACGCTAATCACTATATTGAGACAATTTGTGAATCCCGGCGACAAGATGGATTACCGGGCTTAGCAATTGAATGGGGACCGATTGCCGATGTTGGTTTAGCCGCTCGAACCTTTGGCGATAAACAAGCGATCAGTAGTTATCTTAATCAAAGTATCGACTCTTTTTTGAAAACTTTGGACATTTTCTTAGGACTCGATTATTCAGTTTGCTATTCGGCAATTCCATCAGTTCAGAAAACTTTAAAAGCGAGTGATGCTTTCACCAAAGTCGCTCGAATCATGGGACTGAAAGATATTGGATCAGTCGATCATAATAAAACATTAAGAGAATTAGGAATTGATTCAGTTCAATCAATCGAGGTTCAAATATTTCTTTCCCAAGAATTTAATCAAACAGTTAAACAATTTACAATCGCTGAATTAACACTCAATGATCTGAAAACGATGGACCAAACGGGCTCATCGATCAACGAAGAGTCCAAACAAGTAATCAAGGAGAAATTATTAGTTCCATTAAATTCTGGTGAAGAGAATGCAATCTTTTTCTTTCCTCCGGCGATCGCCGACTTTTTATCAATGATGCCATTGGCCGAAGGTCTCGATTGTCAAGTAATTGGAATCAACTATACAGATGAAGCTCTGGCCATCGAAAAGTTTGACCAATTAACAGAATTATATTATCAAGAAATGATGAAATCGTTTTCCAATCTATCGGAATATCTGTTTGTTGCCTATTCGTTTGGTGTACCGATCGCCTTTGACCTTGCGAGAAAGATACAAACTCGACTAGGTCCAAATCGTATTAAGCATATGATCTTTATTGATACATCGCCGGTAGGTCAACAACAAAGTTATAAATTCTTTCGTCGATTAAGAGAATCGGGTAACTTTAATTGGGAAACTCTGAAAGATCCTCGATTATCTATGGATAGAAAACGAAATATGCAAAACGATCGTCTAAAAATAATCAGTGTTCTCGAAGGAATCACCGGAGATTCTGGTGAAAAAAACACTGAAATTTTCTTCGGCTTTTGGGATAAAATGGCTTCGATAATTGATCTTACATTTGACCATAAATTCATCGGTAAAGTGATACATTTCCAAGCGAACGATCAACCATCAGCACTATTAGATAAGCTCAATCATGACATGGATTCGGTAATTAAATCACTTAATTTTCTAACAATAATACTAATCGATTGTTAATTGTCTCTCTCTCTCTCTCTCTCTCTCTGTTCCAATTTAGGCCGTTGATGGATCAGTTGATACTCGTTTTATTAAATCAAATCATTTCGAGATAATTAACCATGGAAAAGATGAAATTCTCGCTGGTATCAAGGAATTTTTACCAAAAAATAATTAGAATCAATTGGAATTGTCAAGTAAAATTGTTCGTCGATAAAAAGACAAAACTTTTCTCCAATTTCAATGGAAATTCAATTTTCTTATCGAATCATAATAAACAAACAAACTTTTCTTATTCGTTAAATTTTCTTCTTCCCTTGATTTCATTTCAACTGCAAATTGCACACCATAAATTATAATTTTCTTTTTTCAATCAAAACATCAAAATCAATTTTCGAATTTTTTTATTCGATTGACAAATTTATAAAAAGCGCCACTGGAATTGAGATATAGGAGGAGAGGAGCTGCTGTTGGGATCGACTGAGCTGATGGAATGAAAATATTAGAGATTAAAAGATAATTAAACTTGTTTTCCAATTAAATTGATTGTTTTTATTTCTCTTTTTACGAGTTTAATCAAAGTAGTTTGTGTTCTCCGAATTCTGGTCTATTGTTCGTCTTCTATTGGTTTCGGTCTGTTGACTTTTCCTTTCGTTACACGAGTAAAATCGATAGAATTTTTTTTTTCTCTGTGTTTTGATTGTTCCTCTCCGACAGTTTTTCTCATTTTTATTTTTGTTCTTCTCTCTTCTTCTTTATTATTATACATTAACAATAATAAAGAATATTGATATTTAATATTTGCCATTTCCATGGAGCAAGAACAGACCCAATTTTATTGGAACAATTCTTCATTGTATGGTCCGGTTGTTTGTGATTCGGTTGCTGGGGGACCACCGATGACACCAAAATCTCCTTTGAGCTCAGTGGTTAGAGCTCATCTACCCAATAATGAGAAAACCTCTTTTAAGGTGAAAGCTGGTCAAACAGTTGGAGAAGCTCTTAAAAAAGCCATGGACATTAGGAAATTAACGCCCGAAATATGTGATGTATATACTTACACCACTCACGCCCGAATTGATTGGAATCAAGATATTAGCACACTAGAAGGAAAAGAGATTGTAGTTGAAGCTCGAGCTTCACCCATAAGGACTTCCATTTCTCATAATTTTGTAATTTCTTTTTCTTTTCTTCTATTCTCCTTTTTATATTATATGTTACATTCAGTTATGTCTACTTCTATTCTTTCTTATTGCATCTCAAGTGTAACATATTCCTTTTCATTGAGAAATTCATTCGTTTTGCAAACTGTTTAATGTTTACATTTTATATTCTATTCTCTCTAATCTTTTTTACAGGTTCGTAAGACTTTCTTTTCACTTGCCTTTTGTGAATGCTGCCGTCGTTTACTTTGGCATGGATTTCGATGTCAAACATGTAACTTTCGTTTCCACCAGAGATGTGCTAGCCTTGTGCCCAGTTTATGTTCACCTTTAAACGTTGATTCCTCTAATTATTATGGTCATCTTTTAGCTTTAAATAATTCAACTTATTATAAGGCAGTTACCAATCCTTCAAGTGGACCTTATTTCCAACCACCCAGTCAATCATCTCAACATGGAGTTTCATCCTCATCTGTAACAGAGTGTCAATCATCATTCAATCAACTTCGAGAATCATTCAATGGACAAACTCGACGTAAAATGCAACCATCAGGATTTTCTCAAAGAGAAAGATCCACATCAGCTCCTAATGTCTACTGTGTTAACCAAAACAATCAAAGTTTCTCAGAAGAGTTTCACAAATATCCAACATCATCATCTGGTTAGTTAATACATTTAATTGTAGCTCGTAATTATATTTCTCATCAATTTTATCATCTCTTTCTCTCTACAGGCTACAGTAGTATGCTCACCAATAATGGTGATCTAGCTTCATCATCAAATAATGCAACAACAAGTCCAACTAGAACCCAAAGTGCTGGTGGATCACCTACTAATACACGAATAGGTGGACAACAATGGCGTCCAAGAGCAAGATCAGCCGATGAAAGTTCTGCTAAAAATTTAGTACACAAAGGAAAACCCAGTACAACAGGTAGAGAACCAATAGAAGACTGGGAGATAGCACATGATGAAATTTTCACTGGACCCAGAATAGGATGTGGATCATTTGGAACTGTATACCGTGGACATTGGCATGGACCAGTAGCATTGAAAAAGTTAAACGTTACCAATCCAACTCCTGCACAATTACAAGCTTTTAAAAATGAAGTCGCTGTACTGCGAAAGACTCGCCATGTTAATATACTACTTTTTATGGGCTGTGTATCTAAACCACAACTTACAATAGTGACCCAATGGTGTGAAGGTTCATCTCTTTATAAACATTTACATGTTCTTGAAACCAAATTTGAACTTGCCCAATCAATAGACATTTGCAGGCAAACTGCCCAAGGGATGGACTATCTGCATGCAAAGAATATTATTCATCGTGATCTTAAAACGAACAGTAATTATTTTCATTCCAATTAATTTCCACCTGTTGATTTTATTGATGAATATTAATTGTTCCTCTTTTTCCTTTCTTGTTTTTTTTTGTTACACAATAGATATATTTTTACACGAAGATTTGACTGTGAAAATAGGTGATTTTGGTCTAGCGACTGTGAAAACCAAATGGAACGGATCTCAACAATTTAATCAACCTACGGGTTCCATTCTTTGGATGGCACCGGAAGTAATTAGGATGAAAGATGCAAATCCCTTTTCCTTTCAATCGGATGTTTATGCCTTTGGTATCGTGATGTTTGAACTTTTCACTCAACAATTGCCATATAGTAACATAAATAACAAAGACCAAATCCTTTTTATGGTTGGACGAGGTATCCTTAGGCCCGATTTAACTAAATGCAGGAAAGATACGCCTAAAGCGGTTATACGTTTAATAGAAGATAGTATCACATTTTCAAAAGACGAGAGACCTTTGTTTCGGCAAATTTTGGCTTCACTTGAATCTTTGTCAAGGTCATTGCCAAAGATTCATCGATCTACTTCAGAGCCAACTTTAAATAGAACCCATATACAGTCAGAAGATTTTTGGGGACCCGTTTGTGCTTCTCCGAAAACTCCAATTAATTCACAATTCACAGCTTTCCCATTCTATAGCTTTACCTAGTAATTATTTAGTGACAATTTTTATTTCTCTCTCATCCTTTCTCTCTCTCTCTCTCTCTTTTTCTCTTTCTCTTTCTCTTAATCTTTTCATCTCAACCTCTTCCAATAAATTATATCTATTCTTTCAAATAATAAACAACAAGTGAATTGACATTTTTACATGATTTATTTTTGTCATATTCTGATCGAAAAACTTAATTATCAAGGTCAAACGAATCCAATCGATCAAATTTGATTCTTCTAATCAAGTTTCGTCCCCTAATTAATTTCACTTTGGCATTTCGTCGTGCGAATGGACACTTTTCGAAGCACCAAACACGAAAAAGAATTAGTCATTTTACGATTTTATCAACATAATGATTTTAGATGTTCGAATTGTTGAACTTTAACCTTAAATGAACGCAGGTCTATTACTCGAGAAGAGCTTGGCAAGTAAATTTCATGGAAAATGATCAATGCTTTCTAATTATCTCTCTCGGCGCATATTCAATGATTTCCAATCAACAATTAGCCCAAAAATTATAAAACAATTCAACCACCTGATAGAATTTGATAATCAAAGTAAAGAAAAATTTAGATAAAATCCATTTGATTATTAATATTGATTCCATTTCATTTATATTCATCAAGAAAGAGTTGAAACCAATTCAGTTGATCAGAATTTTCATCATCACCTCAAAGATGAACAATCAGAACTTTTATCTGATGTAATCATCGTTCTAACTGATTCAAGGTGAAAAAAACGACAATTACAATTTAATCTGATTGTTTTCACATCATAAAGTTCACTTAATTTAAATTCGATCCATGAAAACACCGATTGCATCACCGATTGTTGATGATTGTGAAAAGATAATCACGTGACTTTCACATATGATTTTCTGTTTACATTTAAGCTTTTCCACTGATTCAATTTCAACCACTTCTCAATCTTAATCATTTCATTTTATCTTCTTTTTAATTGTTTTTTTTTGTTTTCTTTTCAAATGGATCAATTGGATCGAGTTCCTTGTATTCAAGTCAATTCAAGCAACATTGATCTTTGTTGGTCTCATCTCATCAAAGCCATTGAACAATCTCACTTTGTGGCGATCGATTTGGTGAGTGTCAGGTGTCATTGTTGTTTTTGTTTGATTTTGTTGATTAATTGATTAATCTTTGGTATTTTCTCATAATCTTATAGGAACTTAGTGGTTTAGGCGATAAAAAGAAACTAATCCTCAAGTAAGTTGGTCTTTAAATCTCTCAGTTTTGATCTGATTGCCTGTCGTTTTGTTTGCAGAGATATTGAAGATCGATTCCAAGCAATCGGAGAGGTGGCCAAAACCCGAAGTATCTTATCTGTTGGCCTGTCATTTTTCCGATACAATCGTAGGCGTGCTGACAATTCAATCAAAATTCCCGAAGAAATTGAACTCAATGAATGGAATTTCAAAGTTTCCAATTACGAGATACTAACTTTGTGTAATGAAGAAAGTGTCCTAGAAGATGAATCAAGGTCATTCCTCGTCTCTCACGGATTCGATTTCCAATTACAACAGTCATCCGGTCTTCCATATTTAAGAGGTCAACAGGTTAGTCAGTTAGTTAGTTTGCTTCACTGAACTTTTTTCTCATGTTAATTTTTCTCTCTCACAACTAGGAATCAGATTCTGACACTCACTCAATAAGGAATCTTTTCAAAGCATTGATCTCCAAAAAAGTGCCGTTGGTATTTCACAACGGACTGCTTGACCTCATCTTCATCTATCACAATTTCCTGACATCTCTACCACCTAAATTGACCTCATTTGTCGCCGATCTTGATAAACTTTTTCCAAAAGGAATATTCGACACCAAGTATATTGCAGAACACGGATTTTGCCCTAAAGGCTCTTATTTGGAATATCTTTTCTATCAAAGGTATCAGGTTGAAATTCTGTTCTGAAATTCTTAGCTTTTACTTACATGTGACTTTATATTCTTAGGCAACGTCGTAATCTTGAGAGATTTGTATCGAACAAGTGTTTCATCGCTATCGATTTTACTCCAACCGATTCGGTTTCGAGCTATACTGTCCATCGATCTATGAAAACTACTATTCTTGGAGAAAAGCCTGATGGACTTAAAATCTGTGGCGATTATCGGCAACATGGTTGGTGTAAAGATGGAGCGGAATGTAAAAGATCTCATGATATCGATTTTATCTTAGACGATGAGGATATTTACAAAGAACCGAGTAAAAGTCGTAAAAGAATATTGCTCAAAATGAGTTCCATATCAAATTCCAAAGAAATACCGGCCACCAATGGTTCGAACGAGGAAACTTCGGAACATATAAATGGTCAAGTAAAATCAGGGATCCATCGGTCAGGTTACGACGCTTTTATGACCGGATATTGTTTAGCAACTTTTATCATTCAACTTTCGAAGCCTAAACCTGGTAAAAGCGGAAGACTTAATTTCTCAACAAGTGACATCAAAAAGATCACCAACAAAATCTTTCTGACGGGTAAAAAGGATCCGTTGCTCATTCGTTTTAGTACATATTCGAAACCAAGTTCGAGAATAACTAATATTTTGTCCGTGATTAATAAAGAGGAACCAGAGGAAGAAAACAAATTAGATGAAAATTCACTGGAAGATAAAGAGATCGAATCTTCAACTTCATCCAATGAGGAAAACAAGTCTTAAGATTTTGATTGAAAACGGACAATAAGAGTGACCTCGAGTGATCTTTTGAAATTCAGATCAAATCTCTTAATCTTAAATCAATCAACTGAAATGTTCTGAGAATTGTTTTCCACCGTCAATTCTTGTTTATTACATTCTATTCTTATATCATGGAAAATTTTCTACATTAAACATAAATAAATAATGAAGAAATAAGTTCAATTTCGCAGATCAGGATTGTTTTATTATGTGAGAATAGAACGTTCTCTAGGACCACTGCCGTTTCCATTAAATCATCTTTATTTGAGTTAACTGTGTCAACATTTTTTTCGAAAATGAGAACTGAAAGAGACGAAAAGTAACTGAAAGGCCGATCAATCTACCAGATCTTTCTCTTTTCTAGCGATACAACCATCGAAACCTGGAAGTTTATAGCTAAGAGTCACTTGTTCAAGCCGCTTGGTAACTTCCGCATAGGCTCGTTTAACATCCGACTCATCCAAATCCGGTTCACCAGGAGCAAGTGAATTGAATATCTTGATAAACATGTCCCAATGCATGGGTGTGCGAATCGGACGAGAGAACCATAACACTACGTACTCGATTTGACTCTCATTGAAATTTTGAGACATCGGATTTTCCTCCAAACTCTTCAATAAACGTTCGACCATCGGCTTGATTGGGGCTAAAAATTCAGTGGGCTTTATTTCAGTCATAGTGAGCTAGACAAAGAGAAAAATAAAAAGAGGAGGAGAGAGAGAGATGAGAAAGAGAAAGAATGAGAAGAGGAAAATTTTTCTTCCATTTTTACCTGATTCGTAAATTTTTCAAGTTGAGAACCTTTGGTGAGAGAGAATCGTTGTTAACAGGTAGTTGCATAATAATAATTCAAATTGGTTAATTCAATTAATACCAGATTGTAATAAAAAATATTTTTACTCCGTAAATAAAAATGAAAGTTTCAACTCGAAAGTGATCAAGATCAAAACAAGACAACAAATAGAATTTTTTTCTAAAAGTCAACAGGTGGCGACACTTTATTCTTTATTCTTTTTAACTTTTGATTGTTACAATAATTTGATTCCATGTCAAAGTTTTAAGTCGCGAACATTATTAGAAAATTTTTTTTGATGGTTGACAAGTTTCAATTTATACAGGAAATTTCGTCTATGATTGAGTGACCGAGACAAAAAAGAGAGATCAATCTGCAAGATCTTTCTCTTTTCTAGCGATACAATAATAGAAATCTGAAAGATTATAGTCAAGAATCACTTGTTCAAGCCGCGTGGCCACTTCCGCATAGGCACGTTTAACACCCGACTCATCCAAATCAGGTTCACCAGGAGCAAGTGAATTGAACAGAATGACAAACGAATCCCAAAGAAAGGGTGAGTCAAGTGGACGAATGAAAAATAACGTTACAAATTCTAATTGACCCTGAGTGTAAGTTGTAGACATCGGATTTTCCTCCAAACTTTTCAATAACCGACCGAACATCGGCTTTAATGGAAATACAACAGGCTTGTTTTCAGTCATAGTGAGCTAGACAAACGAGGAAGGCAAAAAACAAGGAGAACCGGTGGTGGTTGTACAGGCGATAGATAAATATATTCCTCAGGTTGTCTTTAGAAGAATCTGTGGAAAAAAATAGAAAAAAATGATGAGTTAAATCTTGACTTACAAAGAGAATGCAGAAAAAAAGCTAAGATTCACACAAAGAGATATAAAGAGAAAATGAGAGAGAGAGAGAGAAAGAGAAAAATAAAAAGAGAAAAACAAAAAGAGGAGGAACTGAGAGAGAGAGAGAGAGAGAGAGAGAGAGAGAGAGAGAGAGAGAGAGAGAGAGAGAGAAGAGGAAGAGGAAATTTCTTCTTCCAATTCTTCCATATTTACCTGATTCGTAAATTTGTTAAGTTGAGTTGAAGTCTCTTGGTGTAAGAAGGAATTTTCTGTGGACTATTCGCCGAAAAATATCATTAGTCTCCACAGAAATATTTTTCGGCGAATAGTCCACAGAAAATTCCTTCTTACACCAAGAGACTTGATTATGAACCAATTGTAAATTCTTAACACGAATCCAACCAGGTCCCTTTAAATTCACTTCGAGAATCATCCTTTCCAATGGAGTTTGTGTAGTGTTGAAAACTCGGTTGAAAGTTTCACCCTTCAAATCAGGAGAAAGTGCAGAGTAATCAGAACCATAAACGACTTCTAAATAATCAGCTTGATAGGGAACATTGGGTTGATCGAATGAATAAAATTTTGTAACTTTTCGAGTCTTGTAGAGCTTAATCTAATATTTGGGAGCAATTTTCTCGGTGAATTCTTTGTGTACTTCAGCTACAGGGATTCGATTATCTCCTCTCATGGCTGGAAGTAAATAAACTTTTCTACAGTATCTTGAACAAAAAGTGACAGTAGCGTTTTCCTTTACTACTAAGATCGATTCAAGTATTGAGAAGAGCTTTTTTCATGAAGTTGTAATCAGGTCTTAGGACTAATCACGGAAAAAATTGAATGCCAAAATTCGGGCAGATTAACGAGCTATAACGATTCTAGCGAGCAAAAATATAATTTGCTCGAGGTAAGTCGCGTTTTTTGGCCTTAAAAACTCAAATAACGAGGATATTTGGTCCAAATTTTTTCAACAATTAACTCAACTATCATTTGAAATTATGCTTGGAAAAAATTACTGTAAAAGATTCAAGAGAGTTTTTGTTAACTGTTCAAGAAATCGTGATATTTTCACGAAATTTTTTTTGTATGTGAAACAATGGTTAAGCAATCTGCTTGTAAAAAATTAGATCAAAATAACGTTTCGTTTTCAAGTTGGGACGATAAACGCTAATGTCACTTTTTGTGCAAAACAATGTACTTATATTCTCAACAATTAAACAGCTAATGTAATCACCGGATGATTTAGCATCAGATTTAACCTTAATTTTACCAAAGATGTAGGCCCTTCCAGCGTGAATGGATGTATCCTCAAAAGCGTCAAGACAATACATCTTTAAGTGTGTAACACCATCTTCATCGGTGAAGAAAGTCAAATCTTTGCCAATTGTTTGCGTGACATTTTCTTCATCAGCGTTTCGAAGCCAATGCCATAATTTCATAATTATCATCGGAATTTTCTTCAATTTCCTCTGGTTTGCCAACTTTAATTGGTTTAACCATAGCTGAAGGTTTAGATGGTTTGATTTTCTTTGATTTTACTTTTTCCTGAAGATCCTCTTCATCGTCATCATACATCATTTCTCAGTAACTTTCACCAAGTTACCAAGAAGTTTAGTCGAGTTCCCATTTTGGATTAGTCAACCCGATAGATGGCAGAATTTTTTTCAATTCTTTGTCAATTAGTTTCGCAGATAATCAATTCATTTGGTCAACTTCTCGGAACAATTAGTCAAGTAGCTCAATATTACATGAAGATGAATAAAATGAACAAATTACCCAAAATTCATCAGTGATTACGAAAAAAATTAAAACAATTTTCTATATAAACATAGAAAAAAACTAATGGTTAATCCTTTGATGATCACATGTAAATATCTGACCTCACTGAATCTCATGAAAACTACACCGAACTATATGAATCATATTTAATCTCCGATCTTGATTGCTATTCTTTATTATTATTAATTATTCAATTATTGTAATTCCCTTTATCTTAATGTAATCTCAGTTAATTAATTGTTCTCAGGTGGTCAATTCGACGACTAACTCTCTCTCTCTCTCTCTCTCTCTCTCTCTCTAATTCTCCCGAATTTTCTAAGAAAAGATATAAAACTAAATAGTTTTGATAGAATTGAGAGAGAAGAATAATTATCATTAACTCGCACCCACAAAGTCCATTAATTATTCTGTTTAACTTCATGTATCGTTTTATTATTCACTGTGTTTCGACATTACATGTAATTATCATCCTCATCGGATTCACTATCATAACCACTCTTTTTCCTTTTCGAAAAAAAAGTCTTTATACTTGGTGTACCATCGACCAGGAAATCATCATCATCAGATTGATCAGCTTCTTCACCTTCAATGAAAAGATTCGCTTCCTTGATATTATATTTATCTTCAGCAATACCTTTCCGAACACGAGATAATTTATCCAGAGCCGCTTTAATAGCAGGACTTTTTACCTTCAACTTTCGACACTTCCTCAACTCGTCAAATTGACTTGGTATTACCGCTCTAAGTTCACTAATGTAAACCAGATACATGTAGATCTGGGGTTCTTTTTGCATTGCAAACTTCCTTTTTCTAGTCAGCGGTTTTTCTGCATTGCCTTTGTAAGATTAACTCTTCATTTTTACTTACGGAATAAAAATAATTTTCACAATCTGGTATTAATTGAATTTCGCGCTTTAACTCTTAAAGAGTTTACTGTTGTCAAGGTTTAAGAAAAACAATCGGTTTGTTTTGTTTTCATCGAAATCTTTTGATTGTTGATTGGTCAAGTATTCTAAAAGGAGACAATTTAATCGACAATTTAATCACTTATGGCTTTACAATCTGCTCGTCAGCTTTTGGATGAGTTGATGGGTCGAGAACGGAATCTAAGACCAACAGAGAAAACAAGTGATGCCAAAGAAGATTGGACTCATCCAAGGGTAAGAAAACATTTTGTCGATTGAACAATTTAATTTCTTTTTTAATATTCTTCAATTGTTATTAAGGCAATTTTATCATATTCTGGGTGATTAATCAATGTTCGCTTTTCTTCAATTTCTCTTTTTTTTCAATTTTCTCTTTTAGATTTGTAAATTTTTTCTAGTTCACTTTTGTCCCAACCAACTGTTCACCAATACAAAGGCTGATATGGGTCCTTGTCATAAGATTCATGATGATTATATAAAACAATGTTATGAGGAACACGCAACAAGGAAACAGAAATCAGTTTATGAAGATGAATTTATTAGGTAAATTGTTGATTTCTTATTGATAATATAGTTTTTTGTTTCTTCGGTTGATCCGGTGTTATGATTTGTTTCGGTAGTGGTTTTTTTCTAGTTCTCATTTATCAACATGTTTTGCTTCTAATTGTGTCTAATTGTTTTGTGTTTTTCTTTCAGATTTTGTCAGCAAACTTTAGGTGATGTAGAAAGAAGGATCAAACGGGCTCGTCAAAGATTGGCGGCCAGTCAAACGGAGAAGGCTGAAAATTTAACTTTAGGAGGGAATTCGAGTTGCCTTAGTGATGAAATTCAGGAGAAAATGCAAGAGATTAGTGATAGAATAGAAAAATTGTTAACAGAAATTGAAGAATTGGGATGTGATGGTAAAGTTGAAGAGGCACAAACTCTGATGACTCAGGTTGAACAATTGAAAGAAGATCGAACCGCTTTGAAACGAGGAAATTTATCAATGCATTGGATACAAGCGAGAGCAGAAATGGGCGCAGCTCAAGAAAAACAAATGGAAGTTTGTGATAATTGTGGTGCTTTTCTAATCGTCAATGATGTTCAACAAAGAGTTGAGGATCACCTGATGGGTAAACAACACGTTGGTTATGGTAAACTTAAGGCCGCTCTGGACGATTTACTTCAGAGGCGTCGAGCTGATAGGGATGTAGATCGTAAAGAGCCAAGAAAAAGTGAAATTAAAGATGAAAGCTCAGCCCATTTGAACGGGGAAGCATCAGTTGAGACTCGATCATCCAGTAGATCTCGAACTTCAGATTCATCGACTCGAAATGGTTCCAGGAATCGAATCAAATCACATGAAAGATCAAGATCTAGAACAAGAAGTGATCGTGATAGTCACCATAAAGCTAAAGACCATGATACCAGGCATCGTGACGATCGACACGATAGAGGACATTCTGATAGAATAAAAGATCGTCGTCATCATGATAGACATTCAAGTAGAGATGATCGTCGATCAACATCATCAAGACACAATGAAAGACGACGAAGTCCTAACCATGTTAAAAGAAACGAATCAACCAAAGATAAAGATCAATGACTCGAAGTATTTAGAATACAAATCGTTACTATTCTGAGATTCTAACATTTAAAATTCTATCAAAATTAAACTAAACTCAATTTTCTTCGTGGAACTTAAGTTAAACACTCTAACAATCAGCCACATTAAACAACTACGAACATCTCATGAAATCATCGCCATTTCTCATCTATCATTTATTTCGTATCTTTTTTTTCTTCTTTCGAATTTTGTAAAATATTCTTTCAAAACTATTCATTTGATTCGTTCAAATAACTGTAACTTACTCTCTGTTGATCATCAGTGCAAGAAAATTCGTTTCTCTTGTAAAATAATAAATGTAATTACATTTTAATTCCTCTTTATGATTAACTCACCGAAAGAAAATGAATCAATCGAATCCCCAACAATCTAATCAAAGATTCAATTCTTATCCTGAACAGTTCACTTGATCGAGTTCATTTTCTTAAACTAATTTTGACCTCAAGTTTCCTTCCTTGACCATTGGCTGGAGCGACATTTAATCACAATCACTCAGGGGACTTTCGATACAATTTTAAGATTTAAAGAAAATTAAAATTAAAACATGATTAAAGTTGAAGAAAAGTTTGTTAACAGTTTCGTTACCAAATGAGATTGTAAAACTTTGAAAGAGTCAAAGTTAATTAAATGAAACGAGTAACGATGATTATGATTGACAGTTAGCCTCAATTAAGTAATAATTTTAAGAGGAACCGACGACATGATTGAACTTTAATTTGTATCAATACTATTGAAGTAAAGTAAATTTATTCAATCAATTGATCATTTTGATACTTTCAATGAAAATTATGAAACAGTTTAGATTGATACGTTTAGATGATTGAGTTTCACCAAGCAAAGGGTCAGTTCAATGGTCAAATATTTGATATTCAAAAGAAACGTTTAGTTCATGAGAAAATAATAGTTGTCATGTTTTATTAGAACTTTTTTTTATTAATATTATTTGAGATGATTGGCAACAATTAATAAAAGAATGAGAGAGAGAGAGAGAGAGAGAGAGAGAGAGAGACAGTGAAGGAAGATGAAGAGGTGGAGTATTAGGAGATGGAAGAAGACAAAAGAGATGAAAGATAAAGTCGAAAGAAATCAAAATGAATGGAAGATTAAAGATGAAAAGATGAAGATGAGAAATGAAGATGAGGATGAGGATGAAAATGATATTGATTTTTTATTCTTTTTCGTGGTTTTGTTTAAGAAAATATTTCGCATCGCTCCTTATTCCCAGGTCGACATCGACCGACATCTTTAACGAAAACTTGATCGGCTGGACAATGATGGACGAAAGCTTGAAGCTCTTTGGTTGCTCTTGATGCTGGAGCGCAAACAACAAACTGACCGCAACTATCTGGATGACCATGGACTCCACGGCGGCTACAAGTTGCTTTACCTGATGGAGAATCGATAATTACTGCTGGTCCAGAATTTTCGCCATCGCTAATTGAAGATGATGGAGATGATTCAGTTACTACTCTTCTTGGTTTAGGTGTTGTCACGATTGGTGAAGATGGTGAAGGTGTTGTTGGTGGGTTTCGAGGTCGACTTCGTCTTGTTTGTACAGGTAAAGGTCGAGGCGTAGTTGTTGTCGTTGTTGTTACTGGTATAAGATCAGCTGAACCTGAATCACTGTGAGCATAGTCAAGGAATGGTAGATCGGTATAAGTGTCGTCATAGTTTGTCCTTGGCGATGTTGCCCTCAATCTGTTACTTGGAGGTGCTGTTGTTATTGGTCTTAAAGGTGCTTCAGGTTCTCGAGGATGAACGGGTAGTTGATGTCTCACCTCTGGTATATTTGGTGGTGGAATTGCGATTAAAGCATCATTTGGATTACCGAATTTTCTTCTTCCTTGTTGATCAAAATATGAGGTCTTTGGGGTGGACGTTTTCTTGGTCTTCGAGTTGTTAATGGATCATGAGATACGAACACCGGAGGAGGTGGTGGTGGTCCAGATTGATCTCCGTTGGGTAAAATTGGTTGCTCGATTGCAGGGGAATCGATATTAGGTTGTGGACGACGAGATGGTGAATTATTATTTAGATCATCTTGGAAATTATTTCCTGGCTTTCGTCGGTCGGCAACACTAAATGCAGATTGAACTCGAACTCGAGTTGGGCGACGTCTTGGTCTTCCTTCTACCCCGACTAAACCTTCATTTCCTCCGACAACTGGCACAGGTCTTGGTCCAGAATCTGTTCCAATAATCGCTGGAGATGAGGCTATTTCTCCGGTCTCTCCGGGGAATCTGAAAACGTTTCCTGCTGATACTCTAATAGGCACTCGAACATCATCCCCAGAGGATTCACGATTATTCTCGACCCTTGTCACGGGAGATTCAGTAGCAAAAAGAACAGATCGGGTTGAAGATTGACCACCGAATCGACCTGGAGTATTGTAAACGAAAAATCCGTCAACTGATCGATTGTCAGGTTTATATTCACTTGGAACTGGACCTGATCCAGGTTGATGGACTATTGAACTTCGAGGAGCTGAAGATGATGATGAACCAGATCGACCATCGGGATCATTATAAACAAAGCTAAAAGGTGAATTAGTCCTTCCAGAAGGATCGACATTTTGTCTTCTAATATCATCCGAACCTGATGGAGATACTGTTGAGACAAGACCTTGATCAAACTGTGGCCTTCGAGGTCTCACTTGGTTCGAGGGTAGATCAGTGAATGCAGATTCACTTCGAACTCTCCTTGAATCTGTTTCAGGTAAATTTCGATTGGGTGTAACATAAGAAGGTGAAAAGAACGATGAAGTCGATAAAGATGCATCGTCTCGAGATAAACTTGAGATCGAGGAATCAGTGTCGATAAGTGTATTATAATTTGACGGGGAATTTGCATCAATAGAATCGCCATTGACTCGACCTCCATTACTAGACGATAGAAGAGCTTGAACTTTATCAACTCCGCCTAAACTTTGAACAAGTTGAAGAAGCTGATAAAGGTTATCGTTACTTGGCTGCGATCTTAAGGTTCCTTGATTTTGAGCTTGGGCCAGTTTCAATGCGGCTGCCAAAAGCTCTGGGGTCAGTTGATTAGATAAATTTGCTAAATGAACAAAATGTAATGAAGAAAAAAAATAAGAGTTAAGTTAGTTGACAAAAAGAAAGACAATTAAAAAGTAAAAACAGTTAATCTTGGCAAACAATTTAATCCGCGAGACTTAACGTTCAATTTAAATGGACGATTAGAATCAGTTAAATCTGATTAACATTCTTTTGGCACAACAATTAACACAATCATGATAATCATCTCTCATCAATATCAACCATCTTCCTTAAATTACTTCCCAATGATTAATAATAAATTTAAAGTCTTAAAGAAAAAAATGATTAACACAATTAACATGCACCCGAAAATTAAAAACTAATTAACCAAAGTTGAGAAAATAAAACGCCAACGTTAACTTGAATTTCTGTTTTCAAATTAATTGTGATTTTTTTTGCTGGAAAACAGAGTCAATCAAATTGTGTGATTGAACAATTAACAATTAAATAGGTTAAATATTAACTCGATTAGCTAATCTGTTATTTACTTAATTGGCAATTAGTGGATTTTTTTTCTCTCTCCATCTTTTTCCAATCGGTGATTAAAATGAAACACTAATTATTAGTATTCTGATGATGATGATGATGATTAACTGTAAACTTACCTGGGATAACGGGTGAGCTTGTAGTTTCCGGTGCTGGTGTTGTGGTTGTTGTGGTTGTTGTTGTGGTGGTGGTTGATGTGGTTGTTGATGTGGGTCGAGTCCTTTTTGGGTTCGATGATGAAGTTGATGTTGATGTAACTTTGCATTTGACGTTTTCGGGATAATCACAAGCCTCTGTTTTCGTGTTGAAATATAATCCTGACGGACAAGTGAATGCATGAGCCACGATTCCTAAATTGGCTGGACCTGAATCGAGGCACCAAAAGTATTTGCGACAATCTTTTGGATTCTTGAAGAAACCTTCATCTTGACACTCGAAAGGTACACCAGGATCGGGAGTGGTCGGTGGTTCTGGTGTAACGAAATCTTTTAATGTTGTTGGACGTTGTGTTGTTGTTGATGTTGTTGTCGATGGTTTAGTTGTTGTTGGTGGTGGTGTTGTCGAAGTGGTTGTTGTCCTTCGAGCGGAAGTGTAACGTCTTATTCCTGATTGAGCGGGTACTGGAGGTTCAGCTGGAATTAGTCGATTTCTTGATGAATCAGATGGACTGATTTGATTACCACCTGGTCGACGGCCATTTGAAACTGATCGAGTTACTGGTGCGATTGTTGTTGATGTTGATGGTACTGATTCTGTGGTAGTTTGACTTGATAAGAGAGCGACTTTCAGTGCGTTAATCAATGGACTTTGCTGACCGTGACATAGACCACGGAAATCGTCATTATCCAAAGTCCAAACCATTGCACCTCCAAGACCATTGGATAAAATAAATTTGGCCTTTTCTTTGATAATATCGACATCATCATAGGCGACCCATTGTTTATCATGATAAGCATATGGACCCTGAATCGTGGGCTCACTATTCTTGACAACCCATTTTTCCTCCTCGATTTTTTGACAAATCTCATAATAAGCTAGATAACCTTTCTCCCGTGTACCTGGCCCAGCATCGCCAGGACCATCGGCTGGTGCACTTACACCAGTTCGACCGCCATCAAGTAAAGTAAACGACCTACCATAAGTAGGAACACCAACAATTATCTTAGACGGAGGTGCACCTTGACTAATATAATATTTAATTGTCCAATCGACGTTTAATTTAGCGGCCTCATCGAATTTACTTAATCCCGTTCGACTCTTCAATGGTGAATGATGATCAGTTTCCGGATCGTAAGCAGTATGATAATCGTAAGTTAGAACATTCATAAAATCAACATTTCTAATGATAAAAAGAAAAGAAGACAATTAATTTGGAATAATTTGATAATCGTTTTCTCTCTCAATAAATTGCAATCAACTCACTTGGCGATCTTGGGAACATCGAAACCACGATCAATATAATCTTGTCCAGCGGGAACGGCGATCGATAATAATAATCGTTCCTTTCCTTGCTTATTTTCATTATCAAAGGCGTGTCTCAATTCCTATTAAACAATCATAACAATAGTCGATTAGTTAATTGTTTAATTAGTAAATTAAAGGAAATGTGGGTCATCATTACGATGAAACAACAATCATGTCAAATCAACAATTGTCATTAATATTTGTTTCCTCTTCTCCCTCTCTCTCTCTTTATAAGATATTAATTGCTAATCAATTAATTGTTGTTGATTAATTAGATAATCAGGACAAAAGGAATTATTTGTTTCCTAATTAGGTTTTTATCTGTTCTTATGAAAATGTTCATGTTTCATGAGATTCAGAAAGAGAGAGAGAGAGAGAGTTTTTTTTAATCCAAGTTAATCTTTAAGTTGATTAACGATAATCTTTCAACTTTGATAACTTTTAATAACTTTAATTGTGAAAACGCGAATTAAACTAAAATAACTTCGTCAGTTTGTCAATATACTTGAGATTAAAATGATTAACATGATTAAGATTAAAGTTAAATAGCCTGAGAGATACATAGAGAGATTTAAGTGTTTGTTGGGTCAGAATGAGAATCAAGCACGTACTTGACCACATCCGATGATCGAGAGATGAATAGAGATGATGAAAGTACTTCACCGGTACATTTATTTATAACTATTTCTTTTTTCATCATTTTCTTTTTTTTCGCAAAAGTTTCTATTGTCATGAAAAGTTGAATTTCTTTTTTAAAAACATGATAAAAGTTCAGTTTACTTTGTTAAATTCAATTCATTCATCATGATCTTCATTCACTTTTCACATCACATAATAAGAAATGAGAAAATATTTCCTATCGAAATTAAGATCAAATCAAATCTCCATTTCGATAAACTTTCTCATTGATATTGATTCATTTCCATCAAATCCATTAATCAACAATAATTTAATCTCAATTTCATTTGATCAAACAGACCAATTAAAATCTAGTGAAAAATCAAACCTTTCATATTGATTATCACACCTAATTTAATGTCATTCATTAATTTAAGTGAGAATATTGAAATTGATTGTTTCAAGTTAACAATCAATTGATTGATTTCAACTGATTCCTTTTTGAATTTTATATTAACTATCACTATTAACATAAGTTTCACTTTGATATTGACCTTTACTTATAATAATAACATCTATTGAATATTGACCCTGTTTCAAGGTGAATTGTGAATGAAATGAATCAATTTAATTGTAGGAGTTTATAGTTAGTTGATTGTTTCCTTTTTTTTGATTATATTGTAGCAGATTGGATGACTAATTGGAAACAATTTGCGTTGAAGGTTGATTGTTATAATTATGATTACTAAATCATATTAAGTAAGAGTATGAGAAAACAATAACTTGATGAGTTATCTTGTTGACAAGAGCGATTTAAATGAGAACCAAGAATTAAACTCTAATCATGATTAACAGAAACATGATGAATACATCATAACAATTAACTGTGTCTCTTTTTGTTTCAACGTGTTGGCTGATAATTATTCAAGTGTCAAGGAAATTTGTTGTTTTAATCACTTTACAATTACAATCATCTTGCTAATCTGTATGAATCAGCCCTCAAAATGGTTAACAATTAAGTCATTATCATTAATTGTAATCCAGTTTCTTTTTTTTTTACTTTGATATAACAGTTAAACTAAAGACAATTTAACAAGCAAATATCTTGTTACATTGTAATAGCAAACTAAATCAGCTGATTTATCATAACAATCAACGTCTCGTTGTATTGATCGTTTGTGTCGGTTCATTAGATTTGATTTTCCAATGATAATTAACTTTGATTGTAAAGTGGTAAATTTACCTTAATCAATATGGAATATCCTTCTTTATCCTCTGATGAACTTCCGTCTCGAAAACCGGGATATTCCCAATCCAGGTCAAGTCCGTCGAAATTATGTTCTCGTAAGAATCGAATGACACTTTTAATGAAAGTTTGTCTCAATTCGGGATCGGCAACGAGTTTGGAAAATCTAAATGAAAACAATTAAATAGAAATCAAGTTAATTAGTTAAATTGTTTCGATCTCGTTTCATTTAACCTTTTAATTTGTTTGTTTTTAATCATCTTTTTGATGGTGGTGGTGGTGATGATGATTGTTAATTGTTTCGTTTAAAATAATAATAAAAAACGTGGGTCAATTTTGGTTACCTAACAATTAAGAAAATACAATAAAAACAAACACAACAACAACAACAACAATTAATCTGTTTGATTATCAATTCAAGGTAATAAAAAAATTACACTTGCAATTAAATTAAGTTAATCAAGACCAATTGAACAATAGATGTCATCTAATTGACCAAATTGTAATTACTTTATCAAACTAACAATCTAATGGTCAATTGTAATTGTGATTAATTTTATAATTATCAGGATTAAAGAGAGAGAGAGTGAGAGAGACTGTTGGACAATTATTAGCACTTTATATCCTTTAATTGTTGGTATCAAGTTTAATTAATCATTAAATCAATCATGATTTCCGTATGTTGAGTCATGTTGATTAACCAGAAAAATCAATCCCCACCCAATGGGAATCATGTTGATTGATTATTAATATCTTATTGCTGTGGGTTGATGATAATGTCCACTAATAATCACACGGAAATGGTTAATTTGTCTTTAAGGGAATCAACAATCAAACTGATTAATTGTGATTAACTTTTCCTTATTTACTCTTATTTTTCTTATCCTTAAGGTTAACGGTTAAATTGTTGTTGCTTAATGATCACCATCATCATGATTACTTGTCATTGTTTCATTTGTCAGTTTCAACAATTAATAAACACTAATCAATAATAAACACGAACACTTAATTTAAATCATGATAATCATGTCAAAATCAAAATCATCAATTGGGTGAAATGAATTGTAATCTCAATGGTCAGTTAATAGTAAAACAAAACGAGTTGAATACAAATTTTTGTATTGTTAATTTGATATGTAATTGACCAACACAATTTAAGGTAAATATAAGGGCTAATCTAATGTAAATTAAATTGTGAATTTAAACTGTAAATTGTTGGTTGTTTTTGATACGTGATTTTTGTTTTATATCAAATTATATTTGTAGTTCTGACCTTTTTTGTTAATCTCTTCTTGACCAGGATAACTTGTTGATCCTATTGTTTAGAAACGGTAAGTAGGTCTCATCTCAAATTTCAAGGTCAGTTAAAGGCTACTCATGGTTCTGTGTTATTACAACAATATATTACTATAATTAAATTGAATATATATTATATGAATGAACACACAATTGATTATATGTATTTCAAGATGAAAATGTTAATAATGAAAATGTTATTTTCATCAATTGATTTGATTTCATTGATTTACTCCAATGGTTTGTACAACTTGTTTTCCAATTGTTCATGATAAGAATCGGAAATTTGGGTTGATAAGATTAGAATGAGAGTAAATTTTGTTGATAAAGTGATTTTATTATATATATTATCTTGTTATCGTTTATTACTAATCATTTATGTCCAATCAAGTTAATCGTTGATTCAGTTGAAGTACCAAAAAAAAAAGTGGACGAGACTTTCTCGACTTTGACTGACACACAATCGTAATCAATATGGAATCATGATCAACCCTTTAACCTGATTTAGATTCTTAATTCTGTTTCTGTTGTTCTCTCTCACTTTAATTTCTCTCCATCATAATTGTGACAATTTACTTTTCAATTCTCATTTCAATGTCTATTAATATTGATTTTAAATTTCATTTCTAGTTCGAACTGACTGGAAGAAAAGTTTTTCTTTCACTTTGTTTCGAGAAAAATATTTTCTTATTATATTTCATATTCGTAATCTTTATAGTCCAATCAAGGATCTAAATTGTAATCATTACATCGTACTTTTCAATTTGCGGTCAATTGCTTTGGGCAATAGATCTGACTAACCTTTAAAAAGCACTTAATTAAAAATAAAACAACAATTAACTTTCATAGTGAAAGGTAAACGGGCATATTTGTTAATTGTTACAATTACTTTTCTACTTCAACAACAATTAACATTACATAAAGGTAAATATTGATGTTGGAAAAACTTTTACTTTAAAATGATTATTTATAAATTATCTAACTTTATCAAAAGAGATCATCAGTAATCAACTAATCAAAGTTAATTGTTAAACAATAAAAACTATGAAATTACAATAAGAGATCACAACAATTAAATAAATGAATATGTAAATGTTTGGATTGTGAACGATAATCAATTGGTTGGTTGTCACAATTAAGTTTACATTTTAAATTAGCGTTAATTGTTGTCTAAATTGTTTGGAGAAATTTTCTCAATCAAGTTTCTTTCATCTCTTTTAATTGATTGGGAATGAAAATTTTGTATCGAATGCGAAAAACTGATTGATCCAGACTTGCGAACTTTTTTTTTCTTCTTCAAGTCAATCAATGTTCACTTTCAATTAATCGAAACTTAATTAAAAGTTTATCAAGGAAGAAGAAAGTTGGTCAACAAACTTTAAATTCCAATCGATTAAATTAGTTAATTATGATCAGGTTATTGATTAGATTAAGAAGAAGAATATGAGTAAAAATAAAAGTAAAATTTGTGATAATCGAATCACAATCGAAAACAATAATAGTTCTGTCGGAATCAAAGTCGATGATTGTGAACAAAAAGGACAATTGGATTAAGAGGAGAAAAAAAAGTTCGAGATGATAAAATTAAGGATCGGCTGAGAGTCTTTTTTTTGTTAATTGTTCATTTATTATCTTTATAATCATCATATCGAAATTAATTTATGCATAATTAGCTTAATAAACTATTTTAACTTTTTTTCATTTCATTATTTGTTCAAGTTGAAAGCGGAAGTTAATTGAACATTATCATGAAAAGTTAGGAATAACTTTTTTTCTTTCTGATTCGGTAAATCAGATACGTGCTGTTCAAATGATGTTTTAATCAAATAATCGTCTTAATGATAATTTAAATCTTCTCGAGGACAGAAAATCACTTTCAATGTAAAATTAACAATAAACCATCAACAATCAAGCAATAATAAGCCAATAACAATTTGAATGATGATGAAAAGTTTCATCATTCAAATTGAGTTACAATGTGATTAGCAAACAATGAAAGTGTATGAAAGATTATGAAAAGTATTGTATTTGTGTCAAAATGATAATTATCATAATATATTAAATTGATCACAATCAAATCTAAACTGATTATGAAAATAATAATAGTTTAGTGATGAAAATTGTTTCAAAAAGTTGATTATGATGATGATTAGATGATGATAATGAATAAGAACGACATTCATCATCCTCATCATTAGACAATTGATTGGCTTAATCAAGTAACATGATAATATGAATGATGTTCAACAATATTATCATGTTGATGATGTTTGTTGTTGTTGTTGTTGTTGTTGATTATGATGGTGATGATAATGATAATGATGAAGATGAAGATGAATGAGATGAAGGTATATATTTATATTTGCGAGAAAGAAACAAATGGAGCTTGAGATGAAAATAAGACAATTTACTAATCAAGGGAGAAAAGTTATCGATCCTTAAGAGGCAAATAAGATGATGATGATGATAATGATGATAAAGATGAAGATGAAGATGCTTATGAAGCAACTCACCGTAACCTAGTTACAGGTACGGTATCCGTTACGGAAATGATGGCCTCCATCATTTTTTATCTTTTCTTTTTTCTTTTTTGTTCTTTTCATCATTTATCATGTTTCGGTTTCACTGGTAAACTTGATATTTATTATATATCGACAAGAAAGATGACACTCAAGGTGATTTACTCTCAATCGTCAATCGTTCAATCATCATCATGGATCACTTTCCGCTCCAAATTTTATCCCCAAAAAATGTCGATTCATCAGACATGAAAAGAAAGACCTGAATTCCTATCAAAGATTCTTACTACAATTCTCTTTCTCTCTCTCTCTCTCTCTCTCTCTCTCTCTCTCTCTCTCTCTCTCTCTCTCTCTCTCTCTCTCTCTCTCTCTCTCTCTCTCTCTCTCCATCTTCATCACTCTCACGTCCATTCATCCTTATCATCATCATCGTTCTCGTCATCACCTTGTTCATCACAGGAAAAATATTATCATTATCAGATTGATTGTTGATTATAAGGCAACACTTTTGTACTCAGATGACAATTTGTGCCAACCAACAATTCATCTTCAATCATCATTGATGAACCTTTCGATTTATATATAAAATAATAAACAATATCGTTGATTGAGAATATTATTATTATTGTCAATTAGATTTAATCATTTGTCTGAAAAAAAAGCAAAACAAAACAAAAAATACTATCACATCATCTTGTGAATGAATCGCATATCAGATTGTTAATTGAAACTGATTGTTAATTGTATAAAGTGAAAATCGATTGATGGAAAAATATAATTTTCAAATAGAGTATAAGAAAGTAAATTCCAATTGTAAGTAAACAAAGTTCGTGATTAAATTTGATTTGATTCACACGATAAAATTAATTCTCTACCATTTATCTAAATATAAGTTACAATAACAATAATTAAGCACAATAATCATCTTGTTGATCAACAACATGAATGAATATTAACAATTTATGAATCAATTGTGATCATCATTTCAAGATTGTTATAAAATCCTTAATGTTAATGTATAAATATAAACAATTAGAAAAATTTTTGTTAATTAATCAAGAGAAGGAAAAAATTATCTTATCATTAGGAAACAATTGATTTAGGTCAAAGATCAGATTGAAAGGTAATTCAAATTCATTGGATTAACTTATTAAAAGGATTAGAGGTCAATAGTGAGAGTTGTAAGTGTAATTAAAATTTTGTTTCACTCGAAAATTGTCAAAATTAAATTGTAATTAAACTTTACAATTTAATTGATTAAAAGTAAACATCCGATTTACTATCATTATTATTATTACTATTAAATTGTTCAATGATAATAATAATAATATCATCTTTAAGGTTAATGGCCAAATATATAAGGGATAATTTTATGAATTAAATTGCAATTAACTTTAACTATCACAGAATCTGAAATAATTAATCTTTAATCAAGTTGATTGTTAAGAGTGATCATCAAATTGATTATTATCTTTGGAAAGACAATAATAAAAACAATGATAATTGTAATTTTTGTCATATTAGATGATGGAAATGTTAATAATGATGATATTAGTTAATTTTAATTCTCGTTAACCTTAATCGTTAAACTATGATTAGAATTGCGAAAAAAAAAGTTTTAATTTTCCGCTAAAAATTTAATGCAATCAACTGGTTGATTAGCTTATTAACTGAATATTAATCATCGATATTAATATTTTAATAATATCAATTTCATTGATGAAAAAAAAAACTCAACATTAATCAACTACAATTAAAGTAAATTTAATGATATTTGTAATCAATTAGTTCAATTGTTGAATATGATAACTTGATGGAAACCATGATAATATTATTATATAATAATAACTTTTTGATATTCACTGAATAATGTTAACCAATTATCATCAAATCAATATTATTGTCACTAAATTTAAACTATTTATCCAGTTGATTTACTAATTGTGATTATAAATATACGATATTAAGATGAAAATATGATGAGATGAGTAAGAAAAAACTTATGAGATTCATATTATATTATCATGAAGAATTGAGTTAAAATTCATTCAATTAAAATTGGTTACAAAACATTAACTTTTAAGAAAATGATTATTGTGATAATGTGTTTAAAATTTGGGGTAAAAGTGACAACAATTTAATTGAAATTGTGTTCAATGGTCTGTTTCATTCAGTTATCATGTATCATGATCATCGATTATTACTTTAGCCGTGAATTGTTCATGATACGATGAATCTTATTCTCATCCTCAAAATGATTTACTTTCCATTTCGTAAACTCAATCAACTCAATCAACTGAACAGCGAAAGAAAAAAATAATAATCTCACCAAACATTTAATTGTAAACGACAATTAAATTCAATATTGTTTCATAGAAACTTTTCACAATTAGTAACGATCAAACTTCCGAAACAATTAGCAAAACCACCACGATGGTTAAATAACCAAGTAAATGGTTAAGATTAACAATTAATCAATTTGATTGTAATCATAATTACCTTTGGGAACCTTCATTCCAACCTCCGATTGCGATCATTGTTTTCAGATCTTTATTGTAACTCTTTAATCCGGTGAACTTTTTATAATTACCTGTAAATATAATTATCGATAAATAATTTGATTAGAATTATATTTCTACAAAGGTAACCATGAGATAAGATTAATTGAGGTTTATATTTTTCGTAAATTAATTCACTGATTATCATCGATAGAGAGAAAACTGGAAGTATTAGATTAATTACTCGTAACCATGGTGTCGTTTACTTAATAACCACTTTTGGTGGCCTTCGAGCGTCGTTAGAACGGTGAAAAAAAGGGCTTTTAAAGGGAACAACGTATATTTAACATTATTTATTGTCTTATTTACGTGAACCGGTTTAAAATTGATTCTAATTCTTCATCTTTTCTCTCGGTTTGAAGCCATTTACACCGAACGAAGTTACTTCAATTCAGCTTCACTTTAGGAAAATAAACAAAATGAAACTTTTTAATTATCGTTTTCATTTTGTTTTCTTCTTCACAATTCCAAGGATATTAATTAGTCTCAATCAAGTATTAGAATTAAGAGAGAGAGAGCTTATGACATAATCGAAAGTAATCAAGGTAATTTAAGATTAGCTAATCATCTTATTCTAAGTCTCTATCTATAAAATTTATCGAAAGATATTTATTAGAATTACTAATGATAATGATGAATAGGATATTTTTAATTTTCGATGCCACGAGTAGCGAAAAAAAAATTGATAATTTAGATGAGGATGATTAGTGATTAGGAGAAAATGAAAGTAATTACTAACCTTGATTAATATCATTATATGGATCAAATGCTTTTAGCTCAAATTTAGAGCTTAATCCACCAAAAGCGTAGATGAGATGAGTACAAAGGTAGGGATTGATATTTTGTGGCGTGAATTTGGCCAGTCCTGGTCGGTAAACGGCCCAATTGGAATAATAACAAACTATTTTCAGGTCATCAACTTCTATAAATATATTATATTAAATGAGAGTGAAAAATTTAGAATTAAACTTGTTCACAAATTTTATCATTTCCTTGAATTAATTCATTAATAGTCGAAAGTAATTTTGATTATCTTCCCTCGGCGAATCAGGTCACTTTCATCTTCGTCTTAATTATATTTAATATGAAATCGATAGAGAGAAAAACAAAATATCTCTGATCGGTTTACTTTTTTTTGTATTAGTTGACATCAGTTCAGGTCAATTATTATTATTAATTATCAATATAATTATTTAAGGTTCGCAATTCTAAATAAGTTAAACAACTTGATCAATTCAAATAATCAACCGAATTTCCAAAATTCGATAAATTTATCATCTAATATTATCATTATCGATTCCAATTGTCGGTGTTTAACAAACTTCGTAAGCACGAACTGTCAAAATCTGATTGTTCACTTGTTTTGATTGGCATTTTTTTTTCTTCTCTCACAATTTACAAAGCAAATTAACTAACTGATTTAATTGTTAATCTTTCGCCTAGAAAGTTAATCATTTCAAACTCTCTTAATACTCACTCTGGGCATTACAAAAGGTTCCAATGGTTAAGATAATTGTAACGGTAAAAGTTAATAAACTTAATGTATCCTTGAAACTTTTCATTGTGATGGTTAATTAATTTTCAACAACCGATTTAATTGTTAATACTGATGAAAGATTATTATTCACATTAACTGTTGATATGAAAACTTTAAAACAATAATAATAATAGCACTTTGATTCCTTGATTGTTGCGATCAATTTTTAATTTATTTTCCACTCTCGATCTCTGTAATATCACAGATATGTAACCACTTGGATCTAATCACTTAATTTGGTAATCAATTAAGAGCACAATTTAAATGACATGAACACAAAATATTAGGTGATTTAAATATCACCTATTGGATTAAATTATGTTAACAAAAAAGTATAAATTTAATAAACAAACAAAATTGATTCGAAGCGTTATAAACTTAATAGTTCGCAATTGTTTGTGTTCATCCAAATGAACAATCCAACAAACTAACACGAAACTTTAGTTTGTCAGCTTCTTTATACCGTTAATAACAATCAAGCAAAAAAAAGTTATTAACACAATTTTCAAGTCGAACCCAAAAAAACAGGTTCATCTGAATTACAGGAGGTGCTTCTCAATTTAATCACGTTTACGATTTGTATTAGATTGTATTTGAAATTTTATCGTCAATTGAATAACTGGAGTCATCTGGTTTCACCGAATCAAATCATTTTCTTTTTTTTATTCTCAATCAATTTCTAACTTATCGAGATTGAGCAAGAAAATGAACAAAATTAAATTTGAATTGACAATTAAGCAATTAAATTCAGAGGTCAGGATGGCCGAGTGGTCTAAGGCGCCAGACTTAAGATCTGGTCCTCAATTGAGGGCGTGGGTTCGAACCCCACTTCTGACATAATTTTTTTTTCTCTTTTTCCATGTGTGTGAGTAATTTGATGAGAAATTTGATAAACTTTTCTATTGGAGAGAAAAAAAATGGAAAAGGAAAAAAGATTCTATTCGCCCCCGGGTGGGCTCGAACCACCAACCTTTTGGTTAACAGCCAAACGCGCTATCCGATTGCGCCACGGAGGCTATGAAATTGTCAGAGGAAATTTTCTAAATCATGGATAATCTTAACTGGTGGAGAAAAAGAAACAAACTGAGAATTTGGAAAGCGAAAAGATAACACTTAGAATACGCATGTTAAGATGAGAAAAAGTTGAGCATTCGCACAATTGTTCGTCGAGTTACTTCTTATGTTGGGTTAAATTGGATCGATAAACTGGTTCCAGTTTAGTGAGAATTGATTTGTTTTGATTTAGATTCTCTTCTTCTCCAAACTGTAATCAAACCGTTTGTGTTCCTTCATCATCTTCTTCAGAGAGACAGTGAGAGTGAGTGAGTGTGAGAGAGAGAGACCAAGAGAAAAAACTGTTTTTTCTCTTCATCATCATTGTGTCATCATAATTTCCAAGCATTAATTAGATTGACCGTTACCATTTACTCCACTCAACGTAACCATTATCACTTTGGAAAAATATATTCATTCAGTTTTCTTCATTATTGTTGTTTCTTTTTTCTAAAAAAAAAACAAACGAAACAAAATTAAACTTAATTGTGAAGTGAATTTGTGATCATATTTACATTTCTCTTTCTTCGTAATCAATAAGCAAACGAAATTATCGTTACGACCCTTTCGAGCATCTCAACGTACATATTACTAGTGACGTCCAACCTTCTCATTGATTTAATTGTTTATTGTGATAAATTGTATTTTAATCATCACAACAATTTGATTTAATCTTAATTAGATACTAATGGCAGCCTTCATAGCAAAACAAATGGTTGGTAACCAACTATCCGCTGTTAAAGGTAAATACAAACAATTCAAATGATTAAATAATCACAATCAGAGAGTCGACAATCAATGTTGATTGGATTGTCACCTTTAGTTTGAATCTTTAAAAGTAACAATCAGTTTAATTGTTGAGAAAAAAAACCGCAAATTTTATCACAACAATTTAAGCTTATGGTTTGTCGTTGTTGATTAATTAATTATCTGTACACATACAAACATGGAAATGGTTAATTTGTCTGGGAATCGACAATCTAATTGATTGCTGATTAATTATGATTAACTTTTTTTTCGTTTTCACTTTCATTTATTCAGCTAAATTAATGATTAAATTGTTGTTGTTGTTGTTGTTGTTGCTAATGTTTAATGATCGTCATGACAACTTGTCATTGTTTCATTTATCAGTTTCAATAATTAAGATTAGAAAAAAGGAATTACAGTTAACATGATTAAATGATCAAGAGAAAACAATTATTTATCAATATTTAATTGGATTAACTAATCATTTATCATGGAAAAACTAAAATCGTCCATCACCTTAACAATTAATTGATGAGATTTCCTCGTTTTTTACCTTTCATCTAATAGTAATTGTGGTAAATCAAAATCATATAAGTAATACATTAGCTCATCTATTACAACAATCAACACTTTGGAAAAAAAAATTGGAAACAATTAACAGACAATTAACCAATTAAAATGATCACAATTAATATTATCTTAAATTTCCTTGACCTTAATTGGTTCCTGAAGGATTTTCATCAAGTTATACTAATCCAATCGTTAGGATTTACCAAATACAGTTAATTGATTGTGATTATTATCACAGTCAACAATGTCTTTTTGACACTTCTTCAGCTATTATTGAATTAATGTTTCATTAACTTTTTTTTATCATTCGTTTCCTATTATATCATGAAGTAAAAAAGAGTATCTATCATGGTGAATAGACTTTCATTATTATCATCAAGCTTAGTTGAACAATTAGATCATTTAATTGTCCTGATGAGCTTTTCTCTTGAGATGAAAAAGAACGAGAGAAATGTTCTTGAAGAGATTCAGGGAAAATAGGAAAAAAAACAGCAACTGAGTTTTTCCAATGAACAATTTTCAAGAAAACGCCCAAATTTGAATCTCTTTTTTTTTATATCATCAGATTTGAACGATTAAAATTGATTCTGATTTTTTTTTCCTTCTAATATTTTTCCAGAACCCGAATATCATTTATGTCACATAATCTTCACATAATAAGAATAATTTTAAGCCATTTTCATGATAATATTCAAACATCACAACCACAAGAATATTGATTTCATATTGTTAACTTTTTTTTTCACTTAAATATATTCTCATGATAAAATCCTAAAGATGAGTAGTTAAGCTTCAATATAAAAGCATCATAACTTTATCCTTCTATCAATTTTAACATTACATTCAGATGATAATGATGTGAAATTTTCATGATAAGTGGAATTAAGAAATAGTATTGAGCCTATAAAATTGATGACATGATGATGATTGAGAATAAGTTTCAAGATAACAATCAGTCTGTCGATAGTAAGCTTTAAATCATTAATCACTGAGAGGAAAACTATTAATATTAAGAAAAGAATTGGTATCAACAATTAAAAACTGTTCATCTTGATTAAACTATTTTCTTATAATATTTACAATTAAACTTTAACTTTCTCAATTTATATTATTAGTTAGGTGTTTGTCTATTCATTTGATAATCATTGACATCTTCAATCCTAAAACTCATGATAAGTTCCGTTACTTTTTGTTTATCATTATAAATATAAATCATTAAAACTATTATATATAAATCACTTGATTTATATATAAATCATGTTGATATTAATAAATTGTGTTGATAATTCATTTTAAAACATTAACTTGATAAGATAAATATTGTAAAGTAAACTAACAATTTGATTATTTCATTTGAAACTCAATTCGTTATGTCAACAGAAAATAACATTGATAATAAATTAGCAAATTAAACATTTATTATCAAAGTTGAACATTTTCATGATAAATGTTCATTCATTGTAACTATTATCATGTAGGATTTTTTTTGCTGGAAACTTGAAACCCCCCAAAAAAGGATGTCCTGTGATCAGTTTTAATTATTTGTTCCAATTTAATTTGATTAATTAGAGGATTAATTTTGCTTCTCTTTGCTCATCAGACATCGGCGGTGGTGGAGATAGTGCTGAGGAAAAAGAGAAACTGGAAGAATTGGAAAGGGAACGATTGGAAGCACTTCGAGAAGCTGAGGAGAGACGTCGAGAAAAACATCGAAAAATGGAAGAAGAGAGAGAGAAGATGCGCCAAGGAGTCAGAGGAAAGGTAATTCGATTTCGATAAATCATCTTCTCATCTTTTCTCCCTCATCAATTCTATTTCCGTTTCCATTTTCCAACGAGTAAAAGATAATTTAATGAACTGACAGATGAAAAAGAAAGAGAAAAATCAACTTGATAACTAAATTGGGTAACTTTATTTTTCGTCGAAAAGAATATGAAAAAAATTGTTCTCCAATTTTCTAATACATGTCAACTATCAATTTGCCGAAAAAAGTAAAAAGAAAATATTAAATTCGCATTTCGGTAAACATAACATTCTACTCGGTAGTTTATCCTCATCTTTTCATGATTCTCCATGATTCCTTTCACTTTCTTCTTGTTAGTCTTATTATCTTTCAATTCTTGATTCCTCTTCCTCTTGTTATCTATTTATTATAATATTCATAAAATAATATTCTAACATTTTCTATTGTAATAAAACTGTCTAAGTAAATAGTTTGTAGGTGATATTCATCAACAGAATAATAATAATAGTGAAAAAAAAGTGAATATATTTATCTGATGAATGGACTTTATCTCAATTTGATTAACTGGAAATTCATTTTTGCTGAATAAATTTTTTCTCCATCATATTAGAATATGGTTATGATTATTATCTCCATCATCTTCTCTTCATGAAGTACATAGAATATCAGATAGATTTAGATCGTTCGAACGTTCTAAATATATTATCATCTCTTTCGTAGTAGAAAATGGCAAGAGAGAGAGAGAGAGAGAAACAATAAAAGAAAAAATGTTCTCTTGATACTTTTTTTTCTGTACTATTTGATTTATGATTCGAGGGAATGAGATATGAGGCAGAATCGATGGTGAAAGGTTCAATTGTGAATAAAATTCTTCCTCTTCTTCTACAGGGTATTTCATATTCGGCTACATTTGACTCAATCATGTTGATCGAGCTCAAGGAGAACCATTAATATGAAATATACGATTAGAAGAACGAAAACTTTTTTTTTCGAAAAAGTGTTTTTTTTCATAATTCGTTCATCAAATATGACCTATTGAAAACAAGAAGAAGAAAAAGTTCTGAGAGTTTCACCATGAGTTCAGCTTTTCACTAATGGAATAAGATAAACATTTAGTTGAGAGTTTTGTTCAGATCTTATTTAGATCAATTTTGGTGTGAATACTTGATGTATATATTTCCATATTTCTTCATGTGGAACTGGAAGTTTCCCTGTATATAATTCACAATATTAACTATCGATCAGACAAAATGTTCTCTATTGAAATGTATACAATTGAAATTGTTGAAAAGTTCTGTTGGAATTCATACAAAAAAAAATCAGTTCACTTTAAAACTCGAATAATTCCAAAGATGATTATCAGAATTGGTTATTCTTTTGGTCCTTTTCCTTATATACTTTTTTTCCTATTGGGAGATATTGTTTCCATCCAATCAATCATGTCAACTTTGTTTTATTTCATTTTATTGCTTCTTTACTCATAATCTGATTATCTTCATCCTTCTTGTGATAATAATAATATCATGTTATGTTACTCACGATCGATGGTCCAGTTTAAATTTTCATCAAACTTTCTTCAAGGTATTTGAAAGTTTTTCCTCCAGATCATCTCTGAGAAAACGATAATAACAAAACAACAACATTGTACTTTCATGTTATCAAATTTATTATTTCACATTATATGAATTGAGTTTTTCCATCGGATCAAAATTGTTGTTACAATGAAACATAATGACAATCAATCGATACCCTGGACTTTAATTAAGCCTTAACATGAATTATCATTATTATTATTGAGATAATTGTCAAGGTAAAAGTCCAAACAACGATAAATAATATCATTCTATGTATGTGTGGAGAAATGTGATCAACTAAGGATAATGTTAATTCAAACTGTCAAGGAATCAATGAAAATGGTTTAGAGACACGAAGGTATTAGAACCTTGAAAATCAAACTAATCGTTGATGGATCAATAGTTTTACGATAAAGATATGAAATTTTATTGTCTCCAAATTTAATGATTAATTGATAATCATGGTGATAATAAATATATAACCGTGGATATCATTGTCCTTTTCAGTTTTATTGGTGATATATGAGCGATACTCTCATGTATTATCTGTGTGATAATGATAAGAGTATAACTAATGTCAGAATTCTGTATGAATTGTTGTACCCTCAGGGTATGTTATTCATATATACTGTTCATATAAAAGGTAAAACTTGATAAAAAGGTATCAAATCACCATGAGAATGAGCTTCTTTTCACTTGTAATCTACTTTGCTAATAGGAAAGAAACTAAGACATGTTATACTTTCATTATCTCATTCAATTAAAATGATTTTTTGTCTTCCATTGAGAGACAGATTAGCAAATAGAGCTTAATGTTATGTCAATTAATTCCTACAATGAATTTATCTTCAATCTGATTCTTTCGCCATGAAAAGAAGAGGAAAATTACATGAAATTGAAAAATCTCATGTAATACAAATCTATTGATCTCTTCCAGAAAAACTCTGATGACATTACATCAGAATCTCTCTCTCTCTCTCTCTCTCTCTCTCTCTTGAAATAAATCAACCTGAAAACGAATTGATAATAAACAGAAACATCCCAATGTACATAAGTGTAGAAATACAGTTCGAAAGTATTAATTTCATTTCTGATTCCAAATGAAACTAATCCTATAAAACCAAACATTTCGAGTGTCACCCTGTAAGAATAAGTGATATTCATGTGAATTTTTATCACTATAAATTGGCGATGATCATGTTAGATTATTTTCCCCTGAACAATTTTCGTTGACCATTGATCAGATGGTTAGAAATGTTCTCGCCAATGGATTAACATAATCAATATCGAGTTGTAAAAGAAAACCATTAATTCCTGATGTTTCTCACTTTCCGTCATGATAACTTTCTCACATTCATTATCAGAATTACTCTGATAATCATCATTAACATTATCATCAATATCTAACGATGAACAAAAAAAACTGTTTCATTGTTTCATCTTCATATATGTAAATCAGTTTAACTATTTAATTTAATGTCTTTTCATTCAACATTGAAATCAAACTTCATTTCAAAATCTATTCATTGTTTCATTCCAAGACTCATGATATTATCATGAAGCAAAGAAAAGGAAGGAAAAAAATTCTCATTCTCGTTTATTATCATAATAATATCGTAGGAAAAACAAAAAGTTTCTCCAGAATTTTGCCTTAAAAGTATTAATAGAAACACGGAGAAGGAGAAATAAAAAAAAACTCCCAACAGTTTTCGTTGAGAAATTTTTTCTCCTCCAGAACTTTCAATTTACCATAAATATAATCATCTTCATGATGATAAACTAATGACTTTCCAAGTGAATCAATTCTGTTGACAAATAGACAAAAACATTGGATGACAATGTTTTCATTTTCAAATCAAATCGATAATCAACATTTGGATTGAACATTGTTCCAAAATTCTGAAAAATTCCAAAAAACAGAAATATTTTTGTTTCAATGGAACTTTTTTTCTCTCGATGACCTTAAATTCATTGAGAGAGAGAGAGAGAAACAAAATATGATGATCATTAGTTTCAGTCTGTTTAGCTCATATTGCCAAGTTATCATTATTATTATCGTCATCTTTTTCAACGTAGATACCAAATGATTAACTCAATTGAGTTGAACTAACAATCAAGGTATTGAGGGAGAGAGAGAGAGAGAGAGAGAGGAAAAATTGATTCTTAAAATTTTTACCATCAACTTGATTACTTCAAGTTAATATTATCCTCTTTATGAAGGCTCACCTTTTTGCCAATTCCATGTAAATGTCACCATGAACCAACGAGTAGTGAATTAATAATGATTAACTTTCTATGTCATCATCCTTTTAGTATTTTACTTGATTATCAACCAAAACTATGTATTCGATAATAATAATGTTGTTGATTAACATCTTTCAATGGATTCTCAATTCGTAGCATTTCAAAGTATATCAACTAATATTTTCTCTTCTCGATATAATATATAAATATACATTAAGAAGGTCATCTGGAAATGCTGACCAATCAAAAAGCTTTTCTAGTGTAAATATGAAGAGGGAAATGTTTACTTGAGAACTGACAGAATTATTCCAGTTTCTTTACCATTGATTAGCTAAGGAAATCAACAATTTCATCAGATTTTCAACATTAGTATAACAACATTCACCATGGACGTAAATGGTTATCATTTTTATCATCATTCTCATCATCATCATACAAAATAATGATGAGGATAAAGATGCTTAAAGATAATAATGATTAGACATACAAACGATTGGTCAGAATAAAAGTAAACCCAATCACCAAAATCATTGGGTGGTGATTTCAACCTCATGGAAAATAATAATAACCCAAAAATATAATAATAATAGTTATATTTTTATTACGATTCTATAATAATCAAGTTAATTTATGAACATAATCAAAATCGATATTGATGTCATTCATTGTAATTATCAGGGAACGATGGTAATAACGAGAAAGGCCATTATCTTGATCTACTCAATCGATGAAACCTTAATTATCATCATTATCATTTTCTCTTAAGCTTCAAACAATTAAGCTAATTTCCATCACCATGAGGATTATCCTTATATATAAAGTGAATACTGTTCACTATTGATAATGAGAATTTTAATTTTCACCATCGATTTGATTGTTTAATTTGTGGATAAGTTTGTTGAATTTTTCTCAATCCTTTCGCTCTCAAACAAACTCATCAGATTTACTATTAATCTCAATAAATTATTATTCATATGATATTAAGATACGATCAGTGAATCTCAAATTTCTCATTATCATCTTATAACAATTTATCAACTGTCACCATGGTCATGATAATGTATCAATCATTTTAAATGATTTTATTGTAATTTTTTTCCTCATTTTGATCAACTCTTTTTTTTCAAATTTCTTTTCAAACTTTTTCTTATATTCATCTAATCATGTATCTTGTTTCCTAATTCATTATAATTATATCATCATGATCATGGTAATCACAGAATATGCAAAAATATATGTAACATGTTATTAGTGTAACAATATAAAAGTGCTGGTAACTTTGATAGTGAATGAGCTGTAATGTTGTTTGCTAATCAACTAATTGTTTCTCATTTGATTATCTCTTCCGCTTTTTTTTCATTCATCAACTTTTTATCCTTCATTTTATACCAAGAAATTGATTATTTATATGATAACTTTGAGCTTCTTCATCTCGAACTCAATATATAATAAAACTTTCGTGACTATTTTTTCAAATTGAACTTTTTTCCTAACCAATGATCAGGAGGAGGGAAGAAAAATATCCATAAGATTTTAAAGATTATCGTTAATTTGATCCTTTCGGTTGATGATTGATTGCTCAGTTTCATGGCTCGAAACTCAAACTACAACTTTTTAACTATTTCGAACCTGAAAAAATCGTTCTAAATGTTCAAAGTTACTCATCGTTATCTCATTTTTGCTTGTTTATTATCAAAGGGAAACTTTTTTCGTCAAGATTATTCAATTTAAAGTTATTCCGATTCCAATTGATAGAATCGGAATTAGAATATTTATCCATTTAAATTGTTAAAACTCATTAACATTTAGATTTATTTGAACTTATTTTCCATCAAAATAATAAATTTCTCTATTGATTTATTAATCAAATTCAGTTTATTTACCCTGAGGCTTCAATTTGATGGCTAAGTAAATAATGTCAATTCATTGATTGCTTGTTTCGAGAGTTTCAATTGAAATCTATCTGTTTGGTTACAATGTTTATTGATACTTTGTCTTGTTCAATGATAATTCAATTTTCATTAATATGAAAATGTACTCGGTGAAATTAATTATTATCATACCATGGAAATTTAATTGTAACCATTAGTTTACAAATGACTTGAATATCAATTCTTTTGACTATTACAAAATTAGGGTAGCCTTAAGTTGGTAAAATGATACTCGACTCTGTACATAATTGTATCCACCATGATGATGATCAATATTAACAACGATAACAAGTATAAGAGTCACTTGAAATAGTCGAAAAGTAACCAGAATGAAAAAGAATAAGCAAAAAAAAGAGTTGAAATCTCTTCAAGAATCTGAATTCATGTTATATAATAAGAATAAAAGAATGAATCAGTTTTCGATTATTCCAACGATAGATCAAAATTGGAATGATGACTTTATCTCTACTCATTTGATTAACTTGTTCTTTTAAACTGATTGTTCAAAAAATTTAGAATTCGATTGGTTTCAGAATATATGAAATTCGAAAGAAAAACTTATCGATATATGGAAATATTTTTATATTCGTTCAATCGGCAATTTCTCTGGTTTCAATTGATCTAAAGACTCATCGAAGTGAGTTAATTACTAAGGAATCACTTAGAACTCTTGATGAAGATAATCAATTATCAGTAATAATATTCATGTGGATTGAGAGATTTGATCATCATGAAAATTGTGATGTAAAAGAAACAAAAAAACTCTGAAACTATTATAATGAGAAACTCGTGAGATTGAAAAATCTTTCATCTATGAAGACAAATCTAATTTCATGGATAAAAGTGACATGAACATTGTTCAGTAAACAAGTTCGACTGAACAATCATAAGAAAGAATGAAATTTTCTTAAATGTGATTTCTTTCACAACTTGTTAAGCTGAAGAATCTGATTTTTGTCTGAAAGGAACAAGAAATCAAATAACTGAATCAAAGCTTCAAGAAATTTTGTCATTAAATGAAATTGAATTATGTTCAATGTGATGAACTTTTTATATTACCACAATTCTCACTCACCTTCCCCCTTCAAATTCAACACTGAATTTCATGGTGAACTTTTCGATAAACAGAGTTTAATTTTCTCTCTCTCTCTCTCTTTCTCTCTATCTCTTTCTCATTTTCTGCCAAGAAAAATTGAAAATTTATATATTCATTTTTATCGTAAATATAATATTCCAAATGGGAACTTGAATACCTTTATTATCGTAACTTTAAATCGCCTCTGTATGTATGAGATTTTCCCTGATCGTGAAGTGATAAATGTTCAGTTGGACGTAAATTATTAATAAGATGAGTGTTTGGTTAAAACTATTGTTCTCATCAAGTCTCTAATCGTGAAAGTAAACTAAAGGTAAATAGTTATCAATTATCTGTCAAGGTAAAAGGTAATAACCAGTGTTACGGTTATGTGTTAACAAGGAAACATTAACGATAAAATTAACGTTCAGAGTTTAATATTAAATAATAGGAAAGATACTTTTACTCAATGGGAACGTTTTCATTATTCATTGGATTGAAGAGGCGGCGAAATTTATTTATCATAATATTATCGTTATTCTGTTTCTGATTCTGATTCAATTTTCTGTCTTCTCTCATTTTCTTCACCTCCAGTATGGAATTAAAAAGAAAGAGGAGAAAGAGGAAGAGATGAGAAAACAACAAGAAGCTCTGATGGTTGGTTCTACCGACGGTGGACTGAATAGAGCCAAGAAAACCCCTGAGGAAATCGCCGCCGAAGCCGCTGCTGCTGAACAAGATGAATTCACTAGTAAGTAATGTGACTAATTAATCATAATCATATTAATAAGTGTTCATCATATATATATTCAACTCGATTAATTGTTTACACAACAATCAACTTTTCTATTCCAATTTGTCCAACGATAATTCAATATTTACTCAACTCATCAATTGATCATCATTAACATTAATACAATGTACATATTATCAATTAAGTCAACAATCATTTAATAACTTTCTTCACTAATTTAAACCTTAATCACAGCAATTAGATTAATTTAGTTGAATGGATTTAGTTATTCAAACTTTTTTCCTTGCCAATTTTGATAATACAAATGTGAATGTGTTTATAATTGTTGACTGTTATTGATTAACTTTTCCTACTTTTGGTTTTCATGATGAAAATTTATGAATATCAGTTGATTAGATTGAAGCTGAACTTTTCATGGGAATTATAATTTATTCAATCTTATCATGAGTTGAGTTGTGATTTTCATGTTTCTCATTTGACTGAACATTTATTCAATCTATTGATGTCACTGAGAAACATTAATTACTAGCAAATTAATTGATCTTTTCTCTATTTGGAAGTTGAAATTTTCCATTCATCCTCTGTGAATGAATATATTACATGAAAAGATGAATAAGACTGTAAAAAAAACAACAGAAATAATTACATTATTGTTACTCTATCACTACAAGATTGAAGATTAACTAACATCAAAGAGCCTCGAGTAAGAAGCAATTAAATTTAATGAACAGAATACAAACTGAATTGTAAGAAATGGTAAATATCAGGGAATGATAATAAAACAGATAATAAGCTCATTAGATGAGAAGGAAAATAATATTTTTCTTATTTTCCCAAGAAAAGAAAAAGTTTGATAACTGTAAATGACCATTCAATTGATGGTCAGTATAAAGTCCGAAAAGCTGAAGGTATTTAACTGGTCCAATTTATCTTAAAACAGGTAAATAGACAATAACAAACGATGAGCAATTTAATTCTCTCTCGGCCTAATTACAATTCTCTATGGTGGTAAACAATGTATTCAGTTGATAGTTGACCATAAATCTTATCCATTTGAACCACAGAATTTGTGTTGATAGAAAAATCATTTTCTTGAGAATTGCAATTACATTGTTTCAATGGAATTGATTAAAACAAATTAAACCTTTAAAGATAATTAGACTTTTTCTTTTCCTCTCCTTTAATAATAATAATGATAATATTCATTTTCGTTCAGTTTTTGTATCACCTAAGGGCAAATACAAGGAGATAAACTTTGATTGCGTGTTATCGTTTCTCTATCATTAATTTTTTCAGAGACAAAATCTCATCATTCGAGGCAACGATGAAAACATTATCATGTTTACTCATGATTATCATGGTGACTTGAGGATATATCCATTAAAAACATTACAATTTACAGATGATAAATGTGTTAATAAAAAGTCAAGTTTTCCTTGTTATTATTAAATTGATTAAATGGAAATGAAATTCATGAGAATGAACTTTTTCCCCTGAATAGTGTGTATGTATGTGTGTGTGTGTAAACACCGGAGTTCTGAATTAAATGCTATGTAACTTGATTAAAAGTTGATTACACTTGAAATGCTATTAAATAGTAATCAAAGGACCTCCTCTCTTATCATGTTCAAAATGATATCCTCATGAGAATTGGGAACAGGAACAGAAAAAAAAAGAAAGTGACATTAACACATTGAGACAATTCATTGTTATCATGAACATTCAGGTTTATTATTATCGATTGAGTTTATTTACAGAGGGAAAAGAAGATGGCGAAAAACAATCAAGTGACTAATCACTCTGATTTGATTATCGAACCAATTTAATCAGAACAATTGGTTGACATTTTCCAAATGGAATTTATAATAATCAGTTAATCAGTTGATGACAATTCTAAAACCATTAAAAGTAATATCAATATTTTGCTCATTCCATCATAGGAAATCAACTTTTCTCCCTCAACCATATTAATCTTTCCAACTGGAAACATTTTCTTCTTACACTCGACAGAACTTATTGTTGAAAAATTCGATATCATTGAGGACATTTGATACATTATTCTGGTTCTGACCTTTTTTTTCACCATTCTCTCATTTTTATCTCTCCTACAATAGCCAAGTATCGATATAATTGATTCGTAAATAATATAACGAGCTGATCATGTGTGTTTACAAAATAATTCAATTGAATTGTGGTATAAATTGATAAGTGAATTTACAATTAAAAGCTCAACAATTCAACAATGATACATGAGATTTGTTAATCATCATCATCTTTTCAAGAGATGTATAAGTTACATGGTAAAGGATTTGAATAGAGGAAAAATGAATAAAGTTGAATACTCATGTAGATTAAAAAGATGACGATGCTAAGAAAAGCAAACAAGCTCAATAATCATCAGCATCATCATCATCATGATAAGAAGTCACTTAACTGTCAACGTGAATGAGAAAATTTGAAACTTGGTCATTAACTGAATTGTTGCTCGATTTAATACTCATTGGTGATTAAATTGTGTTGGATGTTAAGTTTGATTCTTTGGTTAATCTTTGTGAAGGAGGTAAAATTCATGATAAGAGTTTATCGTGTCAAATATAAAAAAGAAGAGCAAAAAATCATAAAAATAAGGATGGAGAGAGAGAGAAAGGAGGACGAAATGTCTTTCATGATGATGATGATGATGATGATGACAGAGAAAAGGCAAAAAAGACAGTGAAAATGTTGCTGGATAAAAAGATTTATCGATCCAATTGAACTGCGCTACATGGAAGACAACTGAACAATATTTCAGGAGGAAAAAGAACTGGAATAACCTTGAAAGAGCCTCTGTGCTTATCTTTTTCTGTTGCTATTCTGCTTATATTATCAAGAAGAAGAAGAAGAAAAAAAATAACTATTCTTTCAACAAAATTCTGAGATACTACGTAATAGTTACATAGTTTATCATGCATTTTATCATCATCATGATCATCATTTTGGAAGATAACAACATGTGATCAAATCTCCTTATCTTCTTGTTCCTTATTATCATCTTGTCTTCTTAAAATCTTTCCAGCTCATTACTTGAATCGATCTCATTTCTCTTACCAATTGCCCAGAATTCATTGATTATTTTCTCTTGTTTTTCACCGAGATGATTATGTCTTATTATTATTAATATTCGATAATCAAAATGTGTAATAATAATCATCGAATGTAAATTGATTCAGATAATAATAATATGGTTTCATTCTGATTTCTTGGTAATACTCATTTTTACCTTGAAACACCAATAATCAACATTAATTTCTAATATATTGTAATAGTATTGATTAATCAATTTTATCTCATATAACATATTCATCTTAACAATCAATTATCAGGTTAAACTTTACATCTCTTGGTTTTAGCTTTCAATCCCAATAGGCTTTACGAGATGTGATCAGGTAATTATGAGAACACTAATAACAATACTGTAATACTATCAACCTACTACAATAAATATACATATAAACAATTAAGTGATTCTCAATTGGTGCATATAATAAATTAACTAATTATATTTGTCTGTTAACTGTTAACAATCAAAATAGAATCAGAATATTCTCCTTCTTAATTAGATCTCATTTGGATAATGTATTAAAAATTCAACGAAAATAAACAAATCCCTTTAATAAGATACTAAAGTGTAAACAGTTTGACTCTAAATTATAATGGAAACAATAAGAAAGAGAGAGAAACTAATTCTCTATCATTCTTATCTTCATCTTCATCTTCATCATTAACATTATTTGCATAATCATTAAGGAGAGAAACGTAAACAACCGTTAGATTAGTCGTAAGATAAATGCTCTTAATAAGATTGTATTGAATACGATTCAATGAATACAATAATAGTAAAAGAATGACGATAAAATGATTTGGAATAAGGATTTAGATTCTAATGGTGATAAATGTTGCGTTAATTTCAATTGATGTGATTAAAAAAGTTTATGACATTTTCATTGATGTACTAACAATGTTGTCATTTAGATTATTTATCAAATAGATAAATGATAGAAAGACTTTTACTTTTAATAAAACGAAATGGATATAATACTTTTTGCTTTACAACAAAGAGAGAAAAGGTAAAAATAATCTGACAGGAACAGAAATTCTCATCAATAATCATCGTTTTCAGTTTTAAATTCATGGGAATCATGAATTCTCACACAAAGATACTCATGTCAACCAAACAACAAGTTTATATCTCTTTTATTTTTCCATGAAATATGAAAAAGTTAAGCTAATAAATATGAATCGTTCCAAAAAGACAGAGAGAGAGTCATGTACATATATTCAGAAAATAGATTGGTGATAATAATGATAAGTCGTAATTAATTGAATAAAAAACGAAAGGTTCTATTCCCATGTTGACTAATCAACTGTCACGAACCTTGTTATCGTTTTTTTTTACTATTCTTTCTCGGTTATCTAATCTATCTACTAATGATTCCTCGAGAAAAAAAAATTGAGCATCAAACGATGAAAAGTAAAAGATTATCAGTAAATTATGTGTATTAAAAGTGTATTAAAATAACTCAAGGTAATAATAAGCTAATACATTAATTCATCCGGACACTCAGAGATATATGTAGATATCATGTAATCAACTTGAACAATCATGTAACTGAATACAAGCACTTTAATCAACAAAATAATCATGATAATAATCAACAATGGACTTGGATCATATTATTATGATTATCAAATCCTATCAAAAGCTTAATAATTATTATATTTATGGGACATTAATATGAGTATCCCAAAGATTGGAAAACAAATTTAATCCAGTAGATTGAGATTATTATTTGTTTTTTTTTTGTTCTATTCTGTTCGTAAGGAATAATAATAATGATAATGTTCAACTGAATCAAATCGATGATTCAAATTACATTGGGAAAGAGAAAAATTATCTAATAAGACATGCGCTTTGGTCTATTAGAACTAAATTTTCGAAGCTTCGAAGATTAAATTGT